TTCCCTGAATTAACCATACACCACATAACGCGTTGCAAGGATTTTATGGCCCATTCCTATGAATCGCCTCGATTCGAGGGCTTTTCCAGATTCCCCGGTGCCCTAATTATGCAGACGTCTTCCAACCTTTATTCTCTACCAATCCATTGTCCTAAACATGCTATTATTCCCCATTTACCCATCAACCCAATTTAGAATATTTGTTATCAGACTCCGAATCAACAACAACACCATACCTCAATAACGACCCAAGTACTTTTAACTGTGCACCGTCAAAGCCCTCTCCCCAATCAACGAAATGACTAGGGTCCAAAGTTTGTGAATCATCTCACCTTTAGCCGGCTTGAACAATAGTCAATTCACGAATCCAGGAAAGGGACCAATAACGATGCAATCAATATCTCAGCGGAGCCTCCATTATGTAGTGTATGTTATTCGTAGGTGTTACCGTCAATCAAGGAGTCTGCTCATACTGAACGTCGATCATAAGGTTTATTCAGATCATAAGCTTCAGCATGAGTAACAGGTGACATGACACCCGGAGAGCAGTAGTGTCGTCCAATTCTGAGGTCTGCTCTGACCTATCTTCTTCGTGTACCCCTATTTATAACCAATGCAACAAGATGGCTCCCTCTGCTGGCCAGTTTACAATACACTTCCTGTCTATTATATGTTACATTATACTAACAACCAACATTCCATTTCGTCATGAAAAACATTTAACAAAGGCATAATCTTCAGATACGATACTAGCTAGCTAGTGGAGTGGAGTTACTAGCTAGCTAGTGGAGTTACTAGCTAGCTAGTGGAGTGGAGTTACTAGCTAGCTAGTGGAGTTACTTGCTAGCGTATTGATGAACCTCTCTATTAGCCTGGGCTCTGTCTCAACTCTTATTGAGCCTGACACTAAGTGCACCCTGGGGGATAAGACCTCACAACACATTCTACCGCCATCTCTTGTTTTAGTCTATTAAAACCGTTTTATTTATTAAAAGCCACACTTCATTTGAATACTGTAGGAAGAGGTCTAGGCATATAACAAGATAAGTCTGGATTGGTAATAAGTACACGGAGGTCATATTGTGGGAAATGTTCAATACTTTCACAAATCTTTCACATCCTTGTTTTCTTCATTTCCTTCAAAGGGGAATGATATATTTATTCCACTCGGGCCGCAAAACCAGCACTACACATAGAATGAAATCTATTCACATATTTTACAGGATATGTTCTGTGTAGAATATGGATAAATCCTCTGTGCCTTTGGAGAAGACGTCTATGGACGTCCATACACTCTACATGCATGACCTATGACCTATGCTTATTCTGTTGCTGACCCAGCTGTCATACCCATGTTCTCTATGTACGAATGAAATACAATCAAATTGACTAGACTCTATGATCAATCATAAATGAATGAACCCCATGTCTCTTCTCCTCTAGCCCCCCAGTCCCTGTCGACCTCACCTTGTCTTGGTAGCATTTTATATCAACTGATGGGTTATTGATCCTTGTGTGTTTTGAGAGGAAGAGGAACATAGAAAAGTGCTGTACTGTGATTGGCTGTATGATTCAACTTGAGTAGAAAGGTAAGAATAGTGTGTTTACACTAAAGTGGCAATATTAACAACCATTTCAGACGCAGTGTCGGTAAATTGAATGTATGACACTTGAGATGCTGTTACTATATCATTAGAATTACAGTAGTAAAACACACTATTACTGAAACCAATCTGTACACAACAGCTCTCTGAATCTCACAACGCAATGTGGTGTGGGGGATGTGACGAGAATTACTCATTGTTGATCCAGTGACAAAGACCAAGAAGGTTGTTCAATCACACACACTGACTTAACAGAGTAATGGAGTGATATTAGTTATGATAATAACAACGTTGCCTCCAAGACTGTGTTTAGCATGTAGCATAATGTAGCACCTTGAAGTACATACACAGTGCATCACAAACGGCACCCTATTCCCACAACTTTTGACCAGAGCCCTATGGTGCACTATATATGGAATACTTCTATTTGGGACGCACATTAGCATGCACTGCAGCACCTTGAAGTACACTACACATTACAGTTTGTGTTTAATGAAAGGGGTCATTGCGTATTTTCCCGCAGAACAGAACAGTGTGAGATAGATTGCTTTATTGGGGGGAGGGGGGGGATATGCAGACAAGATAAGAGCAATTAAAGCAGGATGTTTTTCAGATCCTGCACCGTTTTACATCATTAACTATAGAAGGTTCGTCCTCTCTGGCTGTGTGCTTCCCAAATGGCATCCTATTACCTACATAGTGCACTACTTTAGGTCATAGCCCTATGGACCCTGGTCAAAAGTAGTGCACTACGTAGGGAATAGGGTGCCATTTGGGACGCACCCTCTCTGTGTTCCAGGGGCTGAGGTGGTGAGGCTGCAGCGGAGCACCTGGGGAGGACAGAGTCTTGGAAGAACAGGATTGTGGGAAGAGACATGTATCCCTTTATGTCCTTCATGGAGGAAGTATGAAGAAAAAAAATGTATGCACTCACTAACTGTAAGTCGCTCTGGATAAGAGCGTCTGCTAAATTACTAAAATGTAAAAATGTAAGTCTGATTTACAGTACCCCCTGCAGTTTTACAATATATTTTCCACCCAGGAAGTCTGATTTACAGTACCACCCAGGAAGTCTGATTTACAGTACCCCCTGCAGTTTTACAATATATTTTCCACCCAGGAAGTCTGATGTACAGTACCTCCTGCAGATTCACAATATATTTTCCACCCAGGCGTTTCAGACTGGGAGACAAGGGGTGTTGATGAAACCGTAACGAGAGAGGTAGAGGGAAGAAGAGAGGAGGATAGAGAAGAGAGGAGGGTAGAGAAGAAAGGAGGGTTGAGAGAAGGGTAGAGGAGATCGAGAGAGAGTAGAGTAGAGCCAAGGTTCTCAAACTTCCTCTGGGACCTCCAGCCGTTCCATGTATCTGAAGTATTCCAGATCTAGCACACCTGATTCAACTGGTCAACTAATCCTCAAGCCCTTGACTAGGTGAATCAGGTGAGGTAGTTCAGGGCTACAACAAACTATGAAACATCTGGGGATCTCAGAGGAGGTTTGAGAACCACTATGTTAGAGAGAGGAGGGTAAAGAAGGACAGGTGAGAGCAGAGGAGAGGAGGGCAGAGGAGAGAGGAGAGAGGAGGGCAGAGGAGAGAGGAGGGCAGAGGAGAGAGGAGGGGAGAGGAGAGAGGAGGGCAGAGGAGAGAAGAGAAGAGAGGAGGGCTCAAGGAGAGAAGAAGGAAGAGGTAAGGGGGCAGAGAGAGAATAAGATATCGGGGTTTTTTTTCTCTCTCTTCTGCAGAGAGAGAGGATGCTCTCTTCTTCGCAGCCTTTCTCGCCTCTCTAGGCCCTCTTTCCTCTTTCTCTTTTCCGAGGAGCTTCGCCTCTTCTCTCGGGAAAGAAAATATGATTCACTGATTAGAAGCATCTTAATCTTAGCTTTCTCTTCTCTCTCGAGAGAAGAGGAGGGCAGAGGGAAGAGAGAGGACAGCTCTCGTGGCAGTGAGCTTTTTACCCAAGGGAGCCAAATGGCCGGTAACGTCACATCACATGACTACAGGAGACAAGCTGCTGCTGCAGCGACAGTGGATGAACAGTTCCAATGGAAGAAGACAAACTAGAACTATATCTTAGTGTTTATCAAGCCTAATGAAACTGCCTTGTGACCGACCTCTCAGGTTCATTGAAATATAAAACAGGTATCGAAACAGACAGACTGACAGACAAAGGGACAGATGGATAGACAGAGACAGACACCTAGTCAGGCAGACAGAGACAGATGGACAGATGGATAGACAGAGACAGACACCTAGTCAGGCAGACAGAGACAGATGGACAGATGGATAGACAGAGACAGACACCTAGTCAGGCAGACAGAGACAGATGGACAGAGACGGACATGACAAACAGACAGACACAGCGAGCCAGCCAGACAGACATAGACACATACAGACAGACGAACAGCGACAGCCAGAGACAAACAGACTGAGACAAACAGACTGAGACAGGCAGAGAGACAGGCAGACGAACTGCGATACCCAGAGACAAACAGACAGAAACAGTGAGACAGGCAGAGAGACAGGCAGGGAAATAAAACGTTTATTTAGTGAAATCTGTGTTTTTACATCCTGTTAAAGAGTTCAGTAGGCTCCTCTGGATGAAATCACACATCATCATCTTCATCATCAGGTTTCACACAATAACAATATTTCCAATCAATGTAGTGATCAATCATTAGAGTTACAGCACAGTAAAAAAAAAATAATCTTTGCAATATAAAGTAACATGATAAATATTCTGAAGTGTTTGCTCCTCCAATCACCACCACTATAAAACACTTCGTCTGCATCCCAAATGGCACCCTTTTCCCCATTTAGTGCACTACTTTTGACCAGAGCCCATCGAGCTCTGGTCAAAAGTAGTGCACTTTATAGAGATTTTTTTATTTATTTTTTAACTTCTCTATTCGGAACTTGGAATATAATTTTAGCTGTTAAATGCTTTGATAGTGTTTATTAGATTTGATGAAAATCTCTTTCAAGAGCTTCATCTATTGTCAGAAGTGGTCCAGGAAATATTGATGGTCCGACTCCATCCTTTGTTATATCATCATATTCAGACTGATACAGACATGGATTAGAGAAAACTATAGATGTTATTATTTATTTTTTTATACTGTGAAACGTAAATATAACAAAGAGTTTCAGTAACGCATTGTATTTTACAAATGAAAAGAGGAAGAATTATTCCTATAATTATTCTGGCTAATATTAGGACACCACATTTTCATACTATGTATACTGTACCGCTGTAAACGACAAGACATCTTTAACGTCTTCTCTTTTCTTTCTCGTTTAGAAAATATTGTTTTGGTTCTTTGTGAACGACAGATTGCATAAACTACTAGGTTCTGTCCCAAATGGCATCCTATTCCCTACATAGTGCACTACTTTTGACCAGGGCCCATAGGGCTATGACCTAAAGTAGTGCACTAGATAGGGCGCCATTTGGGACACACCCCTAGAATCAGCTAGCGCTCCAGCCCACCCGTCCTAATCCTCTCCACACAGTAAACTCTTCCATTCACAGTTTGGTTGTGTCCATAATGTCTTGTTGTTCTTCCGTCCGAACACAGATCATTAAACAGTTTTCAACTATGTCCCCTGGTGATCTGGCTTGGGGTTAAAAGGCCTTGGCTAAACATAGATGATTCTTATTATGTACAAATAAAATATGCATCAAACACCACCAAGCTGGGAAGAAGAGAGGAAGGGTAGTTTGTTCTCTGTGGACCGTCTGTATCCCTCTTTCCCTGTCCCTTTGTGTCCAGTAACCTAGGTAACCAACCACCATTGGCTACTGAGAGCAGGTGCTCTGATGACCAACAAGGAAATCAGTGCGGATTTGATACATGACACAAAAATAATTACAGCGAGAACGTAGGTTTAAAGGAATAGTTGTTAAAAAAAAAATGACACGAGTGGCTTTCGTCCAAAATGGCACCCCATTCCCTAGTGCACCACACGTAGGGAGCCATTTGGGATGTGTACACACTATGTGAGATTGGTTTGGCAAGTTAGCGTCGCTTGTCTGAGAGCCCCGGCAGCTCTCTCTCTCTCTATCCAACAGCAGGACGCTCTTTGATGATGTCATCGCTGGGTTGTCTGGTAACAATGCAGAGTTAATGGCGGCGGCGTGCTGCGTCCGCTCACACACACACACACACACCAAGTTCACACACACTCCTCGGCTGACATCAGGAGAGGGTTGATGTACTCAAACCCTTCGAACTCCGACTGGTCGATCTTCTTCACCACATCACTGGAACACACACACAGGAAAGGAACAGCGGTTAACGGGGTCCTATGACGTTACTGATCAGTAAGCAAATCACAGGTCTAGTAACCTCCATCATAAAACTGGGATATAAATGATCCATGATGAAAGACAGAGACAGTCTGACCAGACAGCCATTAGGACACTCACTCGTCATCAGGCGTGAGCTGGATGGGCTCGTTGGTGAACTGGGTGTCGAAGCTGTCCAGTCCAAACTCTCCTGAGATGTTGGGTTTGAACGGAGGAGCCACCTGCTTTTGCTCCATCTGAAACAACACAAGGCAATGAGGTCAGAGGTCAGACACACACACAGTCAAAGAGACATCCACACATACAGCTTGAGCTTGATACTCTTGTTTAAAATAATGTATATGAAGTTATTTACCATATGCTTTTATCCAAAGCTACTTACAGCCAACCTTGTACTCCAAGCACCATGTTTCAACCAACAAGCCTTATTTACAAAATACTTTAAATGGAGGTCAGTGTATGAAACAGTCAATTTAACTATGTCAAGAAAAACACTACTACAGAACTCTCCTGGAAATAGTTCAGAACCATTTCAAACCAGAGAAGATAAACCATGTCTAACAAACAATAATTTAACCAAAAGCCAATCTCCCTCTTTCTCTCCGAAACGATAACAGTGACTGTGCTTTGGCTCAGAGGAAACTTCACTGTCAACTCACAACCCAGACAGACAGCCTGCAGTGTGTTGACCCAGTACTGCCCCCCCCCCCCTGCAGGTAGACGATAGTACTGCATGGCCAGGCTGCCACCTGTTGTTTATGAGGTGAGACTGAGTGGAGGGGGAGGCAGCTCAGCAGTGTAACTCGATCCCTCCAGACAGAGAGCCAGCCAGCCAGCCAGCCAGCCAGTCAGAGAGCCAGCCAGCCAGCCAGCCAGCCAGCCAGCCAGCCAGCCAGCCAGCCAGCCAGCCAGCCAGCCAGCCAGCCAGCCAGCCAGCCAGCCAGCCAGCCAGCCAGCCAGCCAGCCAGTCAGTCAGTAGACAGGACAGCAACAGTCCAGACCAAACAGAGAAAAGAGGTCAGGCTGCTCCTGAGCTGGTCTGGGACTGGACGGACTGGAGGCATGTCTGGAGGCTGGTCTGTTTGTTTGGCTAGCAGGAGGGGTGGGAGAGACTACCCTGGGAGTGTGTATGGCCCATTACCATGGTTAGACTCAATTCCTTTTCAATTCAGGAAGTAAACTGAAATTCCTATTGTATTTTTCCAGAATATTGAAAATCTGAATTGACTGAATTGAAATGGAATAGACCCCAACCCTGGTGTCTGTTGTTTTTAGATTGCTGCAACCAAATTGCCAGGCAACGGGAAAATAACATCTGGTTAGTCATGTTGCTGCTTATTCTCTGGTGGTGACCCTCAAACTACAACAGAACCACTGTGACATAACCACTTAGTCCAGGAATAAGCTTTAATGGGAGTCTGAGAAACCTGCCCTTAGAGAACCGATACATCTAATTGGCCTGTCTTGTTCCCTGGCGGGGAAGAAGCCTGTCTGGGCCAGTCTAAGGTGATGACCCTCAACTACGTGGAAACAGTATGGGAGTTGATTTGTCTCACTGTCCGTCGTTCACAGTGTTGGGAGTTCATTTCGTTGGTGAGAATTCTGCTGCTTTGTTTGAATGAAAGCAATGATTCACTGTCTCTGTATGTGTTGGGCCATGGTGCTTTGGCATACCTAAACACCAGAAAACACTGATAGAACAGATTAAAGACAGACAGAGAGTTCCATTGAAGAGAAAGATAGAAGACACGATGACTCACAAGGTCCCAGTCTACGTTTCTGAAGAAGGGATGACCCATGATGTCAGCGAAGCCCGTCTGGGGGTGACAGCCTAGCCGCTCCTTAGGTTCCTGGGAGAAAGACAGAAGAGAGGGAGGGAGGGGAGAGATAGAAGAGAGGGAGGGAGGGAGGGAGGGAGGGAGGGAAGGAAGGAGAGTAAAGGTTAATTACATCATGGTCAGAGGGAAGTGTGACATGACCTTGTTAGGATTGATCTGCCTGTGTGTGTGTGTGTGTGTGTGTGTGTGTGTGTGTGTGTGTGTGTGTGTGTGGTAATTACCTTGTTGAGGAAGCCCTTGAGGACGCTGGCAGCTTTGACTGACAACGACCGAGGAATCCTGATCTGTTTTTCCAATATTACTACAGAGAGGAGAGAGAAGATTCACTTTTTTTTTTTTTTTTTCTCATAAAGAAAGGTATCTTTAGATTTTAGAGTGTTTTCACAACAGTGACAGTTGGGATATGAAGAGAGAGGTTGTGAAAAATACCTTATTGAAAACTATATTTACATTTACATTTTAGTCATTTAGCAGACGCTCTTATCCAGAGCTATATGCTGACACTGTAGACGTGTGTGCCAGACAATGCAGCATTACCGCTACACCAGCCAGGCCACAACAACATCAGACTTTTGACTAGAGGTGCACAACAGTAGGGTTGGGCGGTATCCAGATTTTCCATAGTCCTTCTCTCGTCCCGGGATTTAAGGTATTACCGGTTTAGTACACAAGGGGGCGCCAAAGAACGCCAAGAAAGCACATTGGGCGTCTATTACCAGAATGTTAACAAAATTAGCACAAGTAATAGCGAATTTCAAAAGGAGGCTGCTAGCTAAATATGCTAACGAGCGCAAATTAAAATAAACGAATTGCAAAGACAGGCAGTCCAGCTCATGAAGCTATACATGTATAGGTAGGAGCTACCGAATGTCATTTTAGGTGAGTTTGGACATTTACAAGCGAATGTGAACGAAAGACATTGCAAATGAACAAAGTTTTGACGCATGCTTGTCTGAAGGAAGAACAGTACCGTGTACACAGTGTGTCTGTGTGGAGTCTGGAGCCGCTAGGGCAACAGGCCTGCCTGCTCTGCTCAGAGAAGATCCGGGAGGAGCCGACAGGCCGAGAATGGAGAGGATAAACCATTTCTAGGAAATCAAGCTGCATTGGCAGCTGTACAGATAACTCATCCAAAGGGCTTTGACTTCTCAAACCGCAGACAGCTAACACAATATGATTGCCCCGTCACTTTATTAATTCAGCCACTAACTTCGATAACTAGCAAGTTAAACTTAGGGGTCACGTTAAAACAGAATTTTTCGTTTTTCACGCAGGGGAAAAATTAATATCTTGCTGCGTTTTGTAAACGCAGACCTAAAATGCTTCTTATTGTAATTTCTGTTCGGCATCAAACTAATTTTGTGCTTCAGTTGCACGTCTCCACTCAGATGACAATTGACGAACGGGTATTCTATAAGCAGACAGCTATCTGACTGAGGTGGGGCTACTTTTCTGCGGTACTTTTCTCAGTGTAGCCAGCCTTCTTTTCTCCAGTAAAATGCAAGATAAACTTTAAGCAAAACATTAGGAAATGTAGCTGGCTACATTTGGTCAATGATAAACATCAGAAATATGATGGCCATGCATCGTTTGTTGCAAAAAATACCTTGCACTTCTGTTGTCATCTGATGAAAATGAAGCTATCTTCTGCCGAATGTGTTGCACTAATGTATTTTCTGTGAAGGAAAACTATCGTTGCACGTCCCTTATCACTCTATTGAAGCAAAAAAACACTGTTGACTTTCAATATAAAACGCGACCTCTGTCAATACACAGCTTGACTCACCTGATCCTGCTTTCTCCCGTTGTGATATTTACAAACACAAGTGACTGGCTCAACTGTTCTGGGGAACTACGGTAAACTTCATAATGTAAAATAATGTGGTGAAATGAAGAACGCGATCTGCTTCATCTCCTAATGTATTGCACAAGCTGACTGCAGGTATTTACTTAATAAGTAGCTACAAATATTAAAATATATTGAAAAACGTCAAAGAAATAGTTTCAACCATATTGAAAAACCATCCCATGGCTATTTCCAAATACCCCGGAATACTGCATATACAGTATATCGCCCAAGCCTAGTTGCACAGATTTCATTTTTTGCTGACTGATCAGAGTACCATGTTCTTTTTCTTGAGGATCAGCCAACACAGAGTAACGATATGACTACTTTCCATAACATTAACTTTGACCCTGTCCTAACAGCGTTACCTTGGAAGAGGAAGTCTTCTGTGTTCTGGTCTGGGTTGTCGGAGCTTCCTACGATGTCGAAGGGCGACCGTCCAGCCATCATCTCAAACATCAGCACCCCCAGAGCCCACCAGTCCACGCTGAAGCCATAGTCCTCTCCTCTCAGTATCTCAGGGGCGATGTAGTTGGGGGTCCCACAGAACGTACTGGTGGTGTCTCCTGGTCTCAAGCCCTCCTACAGAGCACAGGAAGGACACACATCTCACAACGTCCAGGTCCCGTTCGTCTCAGTTGGTAGAGCATGATGCTTGCAACGCCAGGGTCGTGGGTTCCATTCCCACAGTGGACCAGTACGAAAATGTATGCACTCACTACTGTTAGTCGCTCTAGATAACATTCTCTGCTAAATTACTAAAATGTAACACACACACACAAGCTTAGATGTACAGGGACAACCGCATACACACACGCCAGCACACAAAAAGATAAGACACACACACAGTACAGACAGACAGACACCAACGGACACCCACCTTGCACATGCCGTAGTCAGTGAGTTTGATGTGCCCTTCAGACTCCAGCAGCACGTTGTCCAGTTTGAGGTCTCTGTAGATGATGCCTCTCTCATGGAGGTAGTTCAACGCCAAGCTGATCTCGGCGGAGTAAAACCTGACACACACAGAGAGATGGTGAAGAACTAGTCAGACTCACCACCATCTTAGAGCTACAGAGATAATCACCAAGCCCTTGGTTAGTAGAATCAGAAGTGTAATCATTAGTCCATGCAGCTGCAAAACGGAACACTTTGCAACAAAAAAAAAAAACGACTTTCTATTGGCATTGGACAAATTCAGGTAGGATCCCTCCACGTTTGCGTCCGTTTAAGAAACGTTTTGCAACAGAATTGGCATAATGAATACGCCCCAGGTGTGCTAGAGCTGTTGGCCTGCCCCAAAGGTTCTAGGTTCGAAGACACGTGAATTTTATGTCTGGCAACGTGAGCCTACTGTGGGAGATCACAGATGTGCCGTCCTGGGTGTTTCAGATCAACAGACATCATATACCCCTCAAATTCAAATCTGGACCTCGAAGCCAGTTCCACTGCTTTAATAGAATAATTTGCTTCCCTCTAAAATCAGGGACTGATTTATCCCGGGGACACCAGCTGGATGCAATTCATTATCAGGTAGAACAGAAATGCAGCAGTACTCCGGACCTCCTCGGGTGAGATTGAAACAGCCCGGGGAATATACATTATTTTAAGCCAGGTGTAGCCATGACGTCACTGTTCTCACCTGGCGTGTTCCTCTGGTATTTTCCTCTGTCTCTGCATGTGGAACATCAGGTCTCCTCCGTTCACATACTCTATGATAAAGAACAGTCTGCTCTCGGTCTGGAAACAGGAGTGTAGCCCCACTAGGAAGGGGTGGTTGGACGCCTGCTCAAACACGTGCTTCTCTGTCTGGACCCAGTCGATGTCCTACAACACAGGGAATAACACACACACACACTATTTGGAAATCAAGTCTTAAACACGACTAAAAAAAAGTTCTTAGTAGAAATGACCAGCCGCCGACAGACGGGCAGACAGGAAGACAGGCAAACAGAGACGACTGACAGGCAGAGACAGACAGGATGCAAAATGAGACAGTGGATGTTAGGAGTGAGAATGGCTGAACACACAGTGAATGGTGTTGATAGACTGCTCCCATCTGATGAGGGCTGCAGAATAAGAGTGATTTTGTGATTTCTGGCAATCTGAGCACAGTGAGTGGATGACCTAATGATGTGAGGAGAGTGACAATGTATGAACACAGTGAATAGTGACAGACCTCTATTGACTGACAATAATAATAGGTCTGAACAGAGAAGACAGAGGAGACAGAGAGGGGAGACAGAGAGGGGAGACAGAGAGGGGAGACAGAGAGGAGAGACAGAGAGAGGAGGAATGGCACAGATGATCGGTCAGGTAGCACCTCTCAAAGTGTCAATCATGTGTGTATGTAAGTGTGTGCTTACGGGTATCAGTGTGTGTGTGTTTTTATAGTACCTCGTCGTCGTTGACCAGCTCCTTCTTAACCACCTTCATGGCGTAGATCCTCTCAGTCTTCTTGAGTCGGACCAGCAGGACCTTAGCATAGCTGCCCCGGCCGATCACGCTCAGCAGATCAAAGTCCACCAGACCCAGACTGGACGCTGACTTCCCTGTGTCTCTGCTGCAGCGCGCCTACAGGACAGACAGACAGACAGAGTTAGACATGAGAGGCAGACAGATAAACAGACATGAGACAGACAGACAGACATTTGGCAACAAACAATTCTGACCTCTTTCTCTTCTCCGTCGTAGTTCAGACTCTCACTGGACTCTCTGTTCTGAGGACCTGAGAGAGAGAGAGAGAGAGAGACAGAGAAATAAAGGAGAGGAGAGACAGAGAGAGAGAGAGAGAGAGAGAGAGAGAGAGAGAGAGAGAGAGAGAGGACAGAGAGAGGAATGAGCTGAGAGAGAGAGAGAGGCACGAGGAGGATGCAGAGATGCGAGAGAACAGAGAGAGAGAGAGAGAGAGAGATGAGACAGAGAGAGAGAGAGAGGAGAGAGAGAGGACAGAGAGAGAGAGAGAGAGAGAGAGAGAGAGAGAGAGAGAGAGAGAGAGAGAGAGACAGAGAGAGAGAGAGAGAGAGAGAGAGAGAGAGAGAGAGAGAGAGAGAGACACAGAGAGAGAGAGATACAGAGAGAGAGAGAGAGAGAGAGACACAGAGAGAGAGAGATACAGAGAGAGAGAGAGAGAGAGAGGAGGTTCACTTCTCCCCCTAGACACTAGAGCGTGATATAAGATAGTTCCTAGTGGGAATGTTAAGCCTTCTCATTCAGCCAGCCACCAGTAGACCACCTGACTGGACTTAAAGCTCACTTCCTGCAGCTTAGTGACTGAGGTCTAGAGACACATGGTCTAAAAAAACTATTCATTTATTGTTTATCTATTTTTTCTCACCAAGGCTAGTTTTCTAAATCCTTAAAAAAGCAGTGTGTGTGTGTTACCTGGCTGTTCAGAGTGGTCTAATGGAGTGATGGAGGATCCCCTATCAGGCCCCATGATGGGCTCCTAGAGAGAGAGAGATGGAAATAGAGAGATAGAGATAAAGAGGAATCATTGAGCAATACTGAGGCACAAAGTATTTCCAGTCAGTCCTTTATGAGTCCGAGGTAAAACTCAGGGCCCACAGTTTAAGAAGAGGCTCTGACTGAACCAAGGTAAAACTCAGGGACCACAGAAGAGGCTCTGACTGAACCAAGGTAAAACTCCGGGACCACAGAAGAGGCTCTCTGCATCTCACCTGGATCTGTCTCCCACACTCAACGCTGACCAGTTTGTGGCACTTCTTGTGGACCAGCAGTTTGCAGTTGATGCATTTGTAGCCCTGCCGCCCCAGACCCCAGATACGGTCCGTACAGATGGCGCAGTGAGCTCTCTACGATGAGTACAGAGGGGAGACAACAGACAAAAAAAGTTAGACAACCACACCCACCTTCAAAATATCAACTTATCATTAAAACAGCTAAGTCACTGATTGGAAGAGCGAGATGGAGTGAAAGAGGGAGAGGAGAGAAACAGAGAGGATTTCTCACCCTGTTGAAGCGTTTAGCCTGGAAGGCATGACCACCGGAGTAGTAGAGCTTCCTCCAACGCCTCGCCCCACGACGATAAATAGACCCTGAGGAACAGAACAACACAGGGGTTACTGGAACAAGTGTGTGTGTGTGTCCGAGAGAGAGATACTCCAATCTTCAGAAAACAATGATTTGGATAGAAGAGGGACAAGTAGAGATGTAGACGTACTGTCCTCTCCTGGACAGGGCATGCCAGGCTTCTCTGGGATACATGGAAACACTAGAAGAAGAAAAGGGAAAACCACGGTTGCGATGAACAATTCCTACATCACACGTGTGTGTGTGCCAGAGGTGGGGTAGAGTGGATGTTCTCATTATCTAGCAGACTTGGCACCCCTCTGTGCCCTTCCCCCTATCCTCCACCTCCCCTCCTCTCCTCTCCCACCTCTGGTCTCCTCCTCCTCTTGCTCTTAACCTGTGACCTTCCTTCCTCTCCAGTGTTGATAAAAGACAACCAATCTCACATGCACTGACACACAGACTACTCTGTAAACACCTGTCTAGTTCCTGGTGATTGTGAGGCTGTCTGATGTTTGTCTAGTTAGCAGAAGGAGAGGATCAGTGTAGCAGACAGAGAGTGACTTATAATGGTGTCTGCTGTTCAATTAAAATTAGGTTATGAAAGCTCAATGCATTTATTCTGTTGTTGGATGTTGTCTGCACTGTCAGCCCAGCAAATATTTCCCCTTGGGGTATCAATACAGTTTATAGAACTGGGGCGGCAGGTAGCCTAGTGGTTAAGCACGATGGGCCAGTAACCGAAACGTACCTGGTTCAAATCCCAGAGCCGACTAGGTGACAAATCTGTCCAGCTGGTCATGTCCCCCCCACAGTATCTGACCAGCTGAGCAAGGCACTTAACCGTAATTGCTCCCGTAAATCGCTCTGGATAGGAGCGTCTGCTAAATGACTAAAATGTTTTTTTTTAATGGAAAGATTATGTATTTATTATGTTGTCAGATGTAGAAGGTCATGTTACCGTGGATGATGAGTTCAGAGTCTTTGTTGAGTTCGTAGAGCCTCAGGGCTTCCACCAGCTCCAGCTGAGACGATACTGTACACGGGTCACCTGTGAGGACAGAGAGAGATGGGTCATGGCTGGGTCTCAAATCACACCACTCTGGTCAGATACTGGGGGGGGGGGGGGGGGGGCATGACCAGCTGGTCAGATACTGTGGGGGGGGGCATGACCAGCTGGTCAGATACTGTGGGGGGGGCATTACCAGCTGGTCAGATACTGTGGGGGGAGCATTACCAGCTGGTCAGATACTGTGGGGGGGGCACGACCAGCTGGTCAGATACTGTGGGGGGGGCACGACCAGCTGGTCAGATACTGTGGGGGGGGGGGCATGACCAGCTGGTCAGATACTGTGGGGGGGGCATGACCAGCTGGTCAGATACTGTGGGGGGGGGGCATGACCAGCTGGTCAGATACTGTGGGGGGGGGCACGACCAGCTGGTCAGATACTGTGGGGGGGCATGACCAGCTGGTCAGATACTGTGGGGGGGGGGGGGCATGACCAGCTGGTCAGATACTGGGGGGGGGGGGGGGGGGGGGGGGGGGCACGACAGCTGGTCAGATACTGTGGGGGGGGCATGACCATCTGGTCAGATACTGTGGGGGGGCACGACCAGCTGGTCAGATACTGTGGGGGGGCATGACCAGCTGGTCAGATACTGTGGGGGGGGGGGGGGGCACGACCAGCTGGTCAGATACTGTGGGGGGGGGGGGCACGACCAGCTGGTCAGATACTGTGGGGGGGGGGCACGACCAGCTGGTCAGATACTGTGGGGGGGGGGGCACGACCAGCTGGTCAGATACTGTGGGGGGGCACGACCAGCTGGTCAGATACTGTGGGGGGGCACGACCAGCTGGTCAGATACTGTGGGGGGGGGCATGACCAGCTGGTCAGATACTGTGGGGGGGGGGGGGGGCATGACCAGCTGGTCAGATACTGTGGGGGGGGGCATGACCAGCTGGTCAGATACTGTGGGGGGGGGCATGACCAGCTGGTCAGATACTGTGGGGGGGGGGGGCATGACCAGCTGGTCAGATACTGTGGGGGGGGGGGCATGACCAGCTGGTCAGATACTGTGGGGGGGGGGCATGACCAGCTGGTCAGATACTGTGGGGGGGGCACGACCAGCTGGTCAGATACTGTGGGGGGGGCACGACCAGCTGGTCAGATACTGTGGGGGGGGCACGACCAGCTGGTCAGATACTGTGGGGGGGGGGGGCATGACCAGCTGGTCAGATACTGTGGGGGGGCATGACCAGCTGGTCAGATACTGTGGGGGGGCATGACCAGCTGGTCAGATACTGTGGGGGGGGCATGACCAGCTGGTCAGATACTGTGGGGGGGGGCATGACCAGCTGGTCAGATACTGTGGGGGGACATGACCAGCTCATGACCATCTCATGCTCTGACTGCAGCTGGGAGGGACTGCTGCGCAAGGACTGGGCCGGCTGTGAGTGCTTTGGGACGGGGGTGGGTCCATGGCAGCACCCGCTGCTCGTTGAGAAGAGTAAGAACGATACGTGCTTTCACGTCAGAGTCTCCAATAGTCTCCAATAACACCAGAAAAAGTCGCTAGATTTGTTGCTAGTCGCTTTTTTGAAAATGTGTTGCTAGAGGGGTCTGAAAACTCGCTAAGTATAGCGACAAAGTCGCTAAGTTGGCAACACTGAGTGTCATTAGAGATCTGCCCATAAAAGACTGTAGACATCTGTAAAGGATGAGAAAGATGGACGGATGCATTAATGAATTTATGAATGGACGAACGGATGGAGGTGGATATATAGGAGAACTATGGTAAACAAACCTTCTTCATCGATCCACTTCATGGTGAAGAGCTGGTCGTTGTCCATGCAGCACATGTCTTTGACCTCCCCGTACAGCCCCTCGTAGGAGATGGACGGCTCAAAGTGTGTGATCATGATGTCCCTGAGAGGGGACAGGATACATTAACACACACACCCTTACTTACCGTACTCAAAGTGGCCCGTATTCACAAAGTAGGAGCGCTGATTTAGGATCAGGTACCCTCTGTCCATATAATTTGATCTAAAAGGCTAAACTGATCCAAGATCAACAACACTACTACCCTAAGATCCTTTGTAAATACGGGCTAGTTACAGTTATGCGTAGGGTCACATGACCTGACCAGGAAAAAAACAGAAAGATATAAAAGAGAGATATGAATGTGAGATGGTGAAATCCTGTTTTTGTAGCTGTAGTGGCTTGCTATTGCAGTGAATGTCCTCTAGTCCCACACCTAACTCTAGTAGTCTAGATCAGGGATGGTCAACTGGTCAGCCACCAATTGTGCAAGTTCTCCCACTTAAAAAGATGAGAGAGGCCTGTAATTTTCATCATAGGTACACGTCAACTATGACAGACAAATTGAGAAAAAAAATCCTGAAAATCACATTGTAGGATTTTTAATGAATTTATTTGCAAATTATGGTGGAAAATAAGTATTTGGTCACCTACAAACAAGCAAGATTTCTGGCTCTCACAGACCTGTAACTTCTTCTTTAAGAAGCTCCTCTGTCCTCCACTCGTTACCTGTATTAATGGCACCTGTTTGAACTTGTTATCAGTATAAAAGACACCTGTCCACAACCTCAAACAGTCACACTCCAAACTCCACTATGGCCAAGACCAAAGAGCTGTCAAAGGACACCAGAAACAAAATTGTAGACCTGCACCAGGCTGGGAAGACTGAATCTGCAATACGTAAGCAGCTTGGTTTGAAGAAATCAACTGTGGGAGCAATTATTAGGAAATGGAAGAAATACAAGACCACTGATAATCTCCCTCAATCTGGGGCTCCACGCAAGATCTCACCCCGTGGGGTCAAAATGATCACAAGAACGGTGAGCAAAAATCCCAGAACCACAGTGAGGGAAAAAAGTATTTGATCCCCTGCAGATTTTGTACGTTTGCCCACTGACAAAGAAATGATCAGTCTATAATTTTAATGGTAGGTTTATTTGAACAGTGAGAGACAGAATAACAACAAAAAGATCCAGAAAAACGCATGTCAAAAATGTTATAAATTGATTTGCATTTTAATGAGGGAAATAAGTATTTGACCCCCCTGCAAAACATGACTTAGTACTTGGTTTCGAGGCTGACGTTTGGCAACTCGAACCTTCAGCTCCCTCCACAGATTTTCTATGGGATTAAGGTCTGGAGACTGGCTAGGCCACTCCAGGACCTAAATGTGCTTCTTCTTGAGCCACTCCTTTGTTGCCTTGGCCGTGTGTTTTGGGTCATTGTCATGCTGGAATACCCATCCACGACCCATTTTCAATGCCCTGGCTGAGGGAAGGAGGTTCTCACCCAAGATTTGACGGTACATGGCCCCGTCCATTGTTCCTTTGATGCCGTGAAGTTGTCCTGTCCCCTTAGTAGAAAAACACCCCCAAAGCATAATGTTTCCACCTCCATGTTTGACAGTGGGGTTGGTGTTCTTGGGGTCATAGGCAGCATTCCTCCTCCTCCAAACACGGCGAGTTGAGTTGATGCCAAAGAGCTCAATTTTGGTCTCATCTGACCACAACACTTCCACCCAGTTGTCCTCTGAATCATTCAGATGTTCATTGGCAAACGTCAGACGGGCATGTATATGTGCTTTCTTGAGCAGGGGGACCTTGCGGGCGCTGCGGGATTTCAGTCCTTCACGACGTAGTGTGTTACCAATTGTTTTCTTGGTGACTATGGTCCCAGCTGCCTTGAGATCATTGACAAGATCCTCCCGTGTAGTTCTGGGCTGATTCCTCTCCGTTCTCATGATCATTGCAACTCCACAAGGTGAGATCTTGCATGGAGCCCCAGGCCGAGGGAGATTGACAGTTCTTTTGTGTTTCTTCCATTTGCGAATAATCGCACCAACTGGTCACCTTCTCACCAAGCTGCTTGGCGATGGTCTTGTAGCCCATTCCAGCCTTGTGTAGGTCTACAATCTTGTCCCTGACATCCTTGGAGAGCTCTTTGGTCTTGGCCATGGTGGAGAGTTTGGAATCTGATTGATTGATTGCTTCTGTGCACAGGTGTCATTTATACAGGTAACAAGCTGAGATTAGGAGCACTCCCTTTAAGAGTGTGCTCCTAATCTCAGCTCATTACCTGTATAAAAGACACCTGGGAGCCAGAAATCTTTCTGATTGAAAGGAGGTCAAATACTTATTTCCCTCATTAAAATGCAAATCAATTTATAACATTTTTGACATGCGTTTTTCTTGTTGTTATTCTGTCTCTCACTGTTCAAATAAACCTACCATTAAAATTATAGACTGATCATTTCTTTGTCAGTGGGCAAATGTACAAAATCAGCAGGGGATCAAATACTTTTTTCCCTCACTGTATATACACACACATATATATACATTATATATATATATATATATATATATATATATATATATATATATATATATACACACACACACACCACACACACACACACACACACACACACATATACATATATATATATACACACACATACACTGCTCAAAAAAATTAAGGGAACACTTAAACAACACAATGTAACTCCAAGTCAATCACTCTTCTGTGAAATCAAACTGTCCACTTAGGAAGCAACACTGATTGACAATAAATTTCACATGCTGTTGTGCAAATGGAATAGACAACAGGTGGAAATTATAGGCAATTAGCAAGACACCCCCAATAAAGGACTGGTTTTGCAGGTGGTGATCACAGACCACTTCTCAGTTCCTATGCTTCCTGGCTGATGTTTTGGTCACTTTTGAATGCTGGCGGTGCTTTCATTCTAGTGGTAGCATGAGACAGAGTCTACAACCCACACAAGTGGCTCAGGTAGTGCAGCTCATCCAGGATGGCACATCAATGTGAGCTGTGGCAAGAAGGTTTGCTGTGTCTGTCAGCGTAGTGTCCAGAGCATGGAGGCGCTACCAGGAGACAGGCCAGTACATCAGGAGACGTGGAGGAGGCCGTAGGAGGGCAACAACCCAGCAGCAGGACTGCTACCTCCGCCTTTGTGCAAGGAGGAGCAGGAGGAGCACTGCCAGAGCCCTGCAAAATTACCTCCAGCAGGCCACAAATGTGCATGTGTCTGCTCAAACGGTCAGAAACAGACTCCATGAGGGTGGTATGAGGGCCCGACGTCCACAGGTGGGGGTTGTGCTTACAGCCCAACACCGTGCAGGACGTTTGGCATTTGCCAGAGAACACCAAGATTGGCAAATTCGCCACTGGCGCCCTGTGCTCTTCACAGATGAAAGCAGGTTCACACTGAACACGTGACAGACGTGACAGAGTCTGGAGACGCCGTGGAGAATGTTCTGCTGCCTGCAACATCCTCCAGCATGACCGGTTTGGCGGTGGGTCAGTCATGGTGTGGGGTGGCATTGCTTTGGGGGGCCGCACAGCCCTCCATGTGCTCGCCAGAGGTAGCCTGACTGCCATTAGGTACCGAGATGAGATCCTCAGACCCCTTGTGAGACCATATGCTGGTGCGGTTGGCCCTGGGTTCCTCCTAATGCAAGACAGTGCTAGACCTCATGTGGCTGGAGTGTGTCAGCAGTTCCTGCAAGAGGAAGGCATTGATGCTATGGACTGGCCCGCCCGTTCCCCAGACCTGAATCCAATTGAGCACATCATGTCTCGCTCCATCCACCAACGCCACGTTGCACCACAGACTGTCCAGGAGTTGGCGGATGCTTTAGTCCAGGTCTGGGAGGAGATCCCTCAGGAGACCATCCGCCACCTCATCAGGAGCATGCCCAGGCGTTGTAGGGAGGTCATACAGGCACGTGGAGGCCACACACACTACTGAGCCTCATTTTGACTTGTTTTAAGGACATTACATCAAAGTTGGATCAGCCTGTAGTGTGGTTTTCCACTTTAATTTTGAGGGAGAGAGAGACCTGTTCCAACAAGAAAAGGGCAACCAGTGAAGAACAAACACCATTGTAAATACAACCCATAATTATGTTGATTTATTTTCCCTTTTGTACTTTAACTATCTGCACATCATTACAACACTGTATATATACACATAATATAACATTTGAAATGTCTCTATTCCTTTCAAACTTTTGTGAGTGTAACATTTACTGTTCATTTTTGATTGTTTTTTTTGATTATTTTAAAACTTGCTTGGGCAATGTAAACATATGTTTCCCAATAAAGCCCTTTGAGTTGAATTAAGAGAGGAGTAAAGGTCATCACAGCCAATCTGACCCCTGAGGGCAGCACCAGCCCTCTCACTCTCTTTACTACCATCAATAAACAAACCTGTCTCCAGCCCCAGTCCCAGACCCCATCCCGCTGGGTCTCTTTATAGGGGGACAGTAAAACTGCAGCTCTCCCAGAGACACCACCCACACTGACAATGTCAAGGTCATCAGGACAGACCGACATCCACCTGCACAGAACAGGACCCATCCTCCTTCCACAGGGCCTATAGACCAGACTGGGACCCATCCTCCTTCCACAGGGCCTATACACCAGTCTAGGACCCATCCTCCTTCCACAGGGCCTATACACCAGTCTAGGACCCATCCTCCTTCCACAGGGCCTATACACCAGTCTAGGACCCATCCTCCTTCCACAGGGCCTATACACCAGTTTAGGACCCATCCTCCTTCCACAGGGCCTATATACCAGTCTAGGACCCATCCTCCTTCCACAGGGCCTATACACCAGTCTAGGACCCATCCTCCTTCCACAGGGCCTATACACCAGTCTAGGACCCATCCTCCTTCCACAGGGTCTATACACCAGTCTAGTGCTTTCACATGATCACGTCAGTCCGTATGGAAAAGGTCAACATTTGTATGCTTTCATCCTAAATAATATATATTTTTAAATCACTGCGCCTCTTTCCCCTCAAATGATCACGGCAGTCTGAGTAAGGTCATACGGAAGCTGAAAGTACTAGAAATACTTCAACACTGTATGATGCTGTGCTATGTAAGGTGTGGCAGTAAAGAATATGGCAGCGTACAACAGTGTGTGTGCAGGTATTTCTACTACTTCCATTTTGTGGGCTCAGTTGGATGTGCTAGTGTATGACTACATTACTTTGAAGAAGTGCATAGCCTACTATAGGTGAGCTCATCATTCCAGGCGTAGAATGACAGAGGCTCTTGGCAGACAGAGAATCGGCTGGTGTCCCCTACATTCCATTCCCCCCCCTCTCTTTTTCTCTCTCACATTCTCTCTAGCTTCCTCCTTCATATTCTCTCTTTCCTTCTCTCTTGATTCTAGGGTTGACGCGATAACAGTATTACAATATTTACCCCTCTCTCTCTTCCCTCCCCCCCCTCTCTCCTCTCCCCCTCCTGTCCCCCCTCTCATCTCCCCCTCCCCCTGTCTCCCGTCTCCCCCCCCTCCCCCCTGTCTCTCTCTCCCCCTCCCCCCCTCTCTCTCCCCCTCCCCCCCCTCCTCTCTCTCTCTCCCCCCCCCACCCCCCCCCACTCTCTCTCTCCCCCCCCCACCCCCCCCCTCAATTCAATTTCAATTTCAATTTAAGGGCTTTATTGGCATGGGAAACGTGTGTTAACATTGCCAAAGCAAGTGAAGTAGATAGTAAACAAAAGTGAAATAAACAATAAATATTAACAGTAAACATTACACTCAGAAGTTTCAAAAGAATAAAGACATTTCAAATGTCATATTATGTATATATATACAGTGTTGTAACAATGTGCAAATAGTTATAGTACAAATGGGAAAATAAATAAACATAAATATGGGTTGTATTTACAATGGTGTTTGTTCTTCACTGGTTGCCCTTTTCTTGTGGCAACAGGTCACAAATCTTGCAGCTGTGATGGCACACTGTGGTTTTTCACCCAGTAGATAAGGGAGTTTATCAAAATTGGGTTTGTTTTCAAATTCTTTGTGGATCGCTGTAATCTGAGGGAAATATGTGTCTCTAATATGGTCATACATTTGGCAGGAGGTTAGGAAGTGCAGCTCAGTTTCCACCTCATTTTGTGGCAGTGTGCACATAGCCTGTCTTCTCTTGAGAGCCAGGTCTGCCTACGGTGGCCTTTCTCAATAGCAAGGCTATGCTCACTGAGTCTGTACATAGTCAAAGCTTTCCTTAAGTTTGGGTCAGTCACAGTGGTCAGGTATTCTGCCACTGTGTACTCTCTGTTTAGGGCCAAATAGCATTCTAGTTTGCTCTGTTTTTTTGTTTGTTCTTTCCAATGTGTCAAGTAATTCTCTTTTTGTTTTCTCATGATTTGGTTGGGTCTAGTTGTGTTGTTGTTGTTGTTGTTGTCCTGGGGCTGTGTGGGGTCTGTTTGTGTTTGTGAACAGAGCCCCAGGACAAGCTTACTTAGGGGACTCTTCTCCAAGTTCATCTCTCTGTAGGTGATGGCTTTGTTATGGAAGGTTTGGGAATCGCTTCCTTTTAAGTGGTTATAGAATTTAACGGCTCTTTTCTGGATTTTGATAATTAGTGGGTATTGGCCTAATTCTGCTCTGCATGCATTATTTGGTGTTTTACGTAGTACACGGAGGATGTTTTTGCAGAATTCTGCATGCAGAGTCTCAATTTGGTGTTTGTCCCATTTTGTGAATTCTTGGTTGGTGAGCGGACCCCAGACCTCAGAACCATAAAGGGCAATGGGTTCTATAACTGATTCAAGTATTTTTAGCCAGATCCTAATTGGTATGTCAAATTTTATGTTCCTTCTGATGGCATAGAAGGCCCTTCTTGCCTTGTCTCTCAGATCGTTCACAGCTTTGTGGAGGTTACCTGTGGCGCTGATGTTTAGGCCGAGGTATGTATCGTTTTTGTGTGCTCTAGGGTGCTCTAGGGCAACGGTGTCTCTCCCCGCCCCCCCCTCTCCCCCCCTCCTCTCTCCCCCCCTCTCCCGGCTCCCCTGTAAATAACATTTTTCAAATAATAATAATAATAATAATAATAATAATAATAATATGCCATTTAGCAGACGCTTTTATCCAAAGCGACTTACAGTCATGCGTGCATACATTTTTGTGTATGGATGGTCCCGGGGATCGAACCCACTACCCTGGCGTTACAAGCGCCATGCTCTACCAGCTGAGCTACAGAGGACCAAATCTGGCCCCCGTAAGAATATTGATGAATAGCCCTGGCATAAAGGGTACAGTGGTTGTTGTTGAATAGCCCTGGCATAAAGGGTACAGTGGTTGATGTTGAATAGCGCTGAAAGCCATTGGTTATCAGGCTATTATGATAACTGTAAGATGGTGGGAAGGGGGGGGGGGGGGCTTTCATTGAATATAAGAACATGATGACAACACAGTCAGATACACTTGCCTTCCTCTTTACAAAGCCAGGGGTGAGTCCATTTGGCATCCTAGTCCATATATAGTGCACTACTTTTGACCAGAGCCCTATGAGCCCTGGTCAAAAGTAGTGCACTTTATAGGGAATGGGTGCCATTTGGGACACAGATCAGGCCTTTGTGTTGTGCACTGATGCAGACAGAGTGCTGCTATTAAAGACAGGCCCTGCTTGCTTACCAAGAGAGGAAAATAATCTCTCTCTCACCCTAGTTTTCTGTCAAACATTCAACCTGCCTTTCTCAGGAATCCTGCCTCTGGTTTGGTGGTCATTGGCCCTGTGTATTTATGTCAAACTGGCCATTATTATAGGACAGTATGAAAGCATATCTTTTTTTCCCACATTGATTTATACAGGTAAGGGCAGAGCCATGGAAACAGTATATGACTGATAAAAGGAAGTACAGCAGATATATAGGAACAGAATTGATGGTTAGAATCAGAAATGACATTCCGATGAGTGCCAACACATGTAGGCCTAGCCTGGATCCAAACTGAATTGTTCTGTTTCATCATGAAGTGAAACATTATAATTCCACTTGGATCCAGGCTAACAGAGACAAGCTTTTCTCTAGAATAAAATATTATTGGCTTTACCGCTGTTCATTCTAAAATGTATAGAACAGCCAATGCTTATATAGCCTGGTTGCCTTAATAATGAGTGGCATGTCCCTGCACTTGACCAATCAATGAAATGCTTCATTCCAGAAACATATTGTTTAATTACCCAGGGACGATACAGTACTGGCTGGGCGGGCGGGTATGTAGAGTTAGTGGCAAATACAACAGGTCTGGCAGAAGTTACTGGTAATACACGTTTGGCCAGTCTCTCTCTGGGCAAAACCACAATCACAGACTCGGCATCACACAAGGAGTGTTAGGCAACACCTGTGTGTGACAAGTGATTTCCATCTCAGAATATAATTACCGATGACCATTCACTAGCTATAATTGAACCACAAACAGCGACATCTGAAAATAGGCTCTCTAATCTATTGCAAATAAAACGATTAATCACTGTAAATAAAAAAAGGTATCAATGGCTGGGATTGCTTCAAAATAATGTAAAACTTCAAAAGATGCTGTAAAAAAATGTGGTTAACATCAAGCATTATTAACATGATGTCAGTCTAGCTGTGAGAACACGCCAGCTTCAGTAGCTGGCTATAAGGACCCTGGCGAGTATCAAACATCCAGCTAACGTTAGCTTGCTTCATCACCAACACCAGTTAGCTAGCCTCTAAGTACGTTCAATGTAACGTTAGTTTAGTCATGTCTCAGAACCTGTAGCCATTAAGCCATGAAACAATGGGAGAAGTTTCACTTGCTTAAAATAGATTTGAGATAAAGAACTTGCATGCTAACTGGCTAACATTAGCCTGTCAAGTTTATCTCTACCTAGCTAACTAGCTGGCTAATAAAGCCTAGCCCAAGTTCCTAGCGAGTCAAATAACGATTTGTTTAATCCCAAAACAAATTGCGAATCCTAACTGTGTACTTGCCCTTTGTAGTAGGCTTTTACCCGGACTTGGTGAGGGTTCTCGCCGGGGTGAGACATGATGCTGTCCCGCAACGTCGGCATCATAAACTCTCAGATACTGACGCACCCCTCGCCAAAGATGCCTTCCTTCTGCGGCTAATTTAGCCGTGTACCACGCCCAAAACCCTCTTCTGTACTTGTATCGATAGATAAAACAATTAGCTAGCTGACTATCATTGGAAACCAACAATTGGCGCTTTCTTAATTTTACAAAATCCAGACATAAAGTAATATAAAACTTCAGGAATCCGCCTAACACTCCCTACTACTGTAAAGGCCTCACGACGGACGAATCCATTAGCGGAATGTAATAGGGGCCAAAAATAACAAACTAAGCAAGAAGATACACTGTCGCAGACAATATTTTGTACATAAAACATATATATATATATATATATATATATATATATATGTATATAATACAAGGCGAATCATGATAATCTCATATCTTGTAATGATAGACAAGGAGTACATTTTCAGTTCAACACAATACTGTAAATATGAATGTGTTCGCCAGCATTCCGATTGTACCAACTGAAATGCGAGGGGGATAGTCTACATTTGATTTGGTCCAGACTCAGACCAGCCTCGTACGAACCATCCTGATCTCGGGCTAGACCTTTGTGAGGTCCTTGGGAATTAAATTGTTTATGGCCATTTCTACATATAATTTCAATTCTATAAAAATATAATGTGGAAGTTGGAAATTGAGTTCTTGATATGAAAATCATATTTTGGAAATAGAGATTGGTATTATTGGCTGCCTTTACCATACAAAACTAGCCAACGTTACAGTTATATAGAATCCTATGATGATGCATGAATGACAGATACCAGCAGAGTTCTGTTCAACATCAGCATGATTTATGAAGTCTGGAAAACCTGGGGCCTCTTTTCCCGAGTCTTGTGCCCCCTAGTGTCTCCTGAGTGGTGCAGTGGTCTAAGGCACTGCATCGCAGTGCTAGCTGTGCCACTAGAGATCCTGGTTCGAATCCAGGCTCTGTCGCAGCCGGCCGCGACCGGGAGACTCATGCGCAGCGCACAATTGGCCTAGCGTTGTCCAGGGTAGGGGAGGGAATGGCCGGCAGGGATGTAGCTCAGTTGATAGAGCATGGCGTTTGCAACGCCAGGGTTGTGGGTTCAATTCCCACGGGGGACCAGTATGAAAAAAAAATATATGCATTCACTAACTGTAAGTCGCTCTGGATAAGAGCGTCTGCTAAATGACTAAAATGTAAATGTAAAATGTAGTGGACATACGAAGGCCTAGTATTGCAATATATACTGCCAGTAAAACTTGACTGTTTGTTTGTTGAATGATTAAGCTTGCATTGATTCTCAAACGCTCCCACAAAAAGACTAGACACATAACTATTTGTATATAGGCCTACAAATAAGATACATTGGAGTCAGCCTTTGGCATGCACCTTGTGCAATGTATTTGTGAAAGCAGGAGCACTTACTATTTTCTACATCTAAAATATAACCTTTTGCTTTCTCCCCGAGCAGAAGAACACAGAATCAGGTCATTAAAAATGATGATGTCTTGTAAATTGGACAGTCTGTATGTCTCCTACTCTTCGTCCTCGTCATAGGCCTATAAAAACGGTCTGCACTATTCCAGGCCTAATCTAAGTTGTTGCCATAGTAACATTTTTTTAGTCTGCAGAATGTTTTATATCATGGCAGCTATAGGGCTTGATTCTCAAAGCCTCTCTGGTCACACAGAGCATGCGCACACAAGACAAATATCCTCGAGGACATTAGTTAGTTTATTCTATTCTATGATGAACACCGGTGGTGCAGAAGACTAGATGGTGACTTGAGAGTAGGCTGTTTAATTTAGTAGGCTACACAATTCATTAATCAATGAAGGATATGTTGTGTGAAATAATTTCATGCAGGCCTAATTTTATTCAAAAGGTGGGCAAGCAATACATATTTAGATGCAATTTGAGCAATTCCTTGATACAGTAGCCTACATAAATTACAGGAATTTATTTGTGGCGATAATGTCTGTAAAAGCCATGACTGTCTCCAAGATGAGAAATGTTTTTTTTTATTTTTTATGAACATTTCTTTTTACAGTAAAGACCTCTGCTCTGTTGTGTAAGGTCTTCCCGCACTGCAAGTGATGCTGTGTCTAGGTTTTCATTCCGTCCGTTCTAAAGCTTGACGCATTAGAACATGATTGTGATTGTGACAGTCTGAACCAGCGGGGTTTCGTTCGGCCACTTCGTCATGGGTCAGGTCTAGTAACAAATCCAACCAGGTAACAGCGGTGATAGGTCAACGATTGTGCATGGATGTATAGGTCTATTATAGGCGGCTATATAATTGGCCAAGGAATTAGATGATGATGCCCAAACTGAATATATTTTCTGTAGACTAATAAATTACTTATAAAGGCATTATTATCCGATTTTATTTTGAAATAATGAATACATAAATAATCGTTATGATAGGCTATACATGGGGCGTTTTACAGCCTATAGTTGACAGCACTGCACATGCATGAATTTCCCCAAGTCTAGAAATGCATTCTACACATGATTTAACTACAATTGTTCATATAGATTTTAAGTTGCATAACGGATTTGATGCATTGCTATCACTGCATGAACATTTGTCTAACTTTCACCAGTCAGCTTTTTGTCAGTGCATGGTTGTGGCTTAGGGTTGGAATAATTTGTCTGTCCAGCACAATAACTCCTACACACAGGTTTGAAAATGGAACATTGAGCATCAGGAATTAATACCAGCATGCTAATGTGTCTCGAATGATCCTTTTAAAGCAAACTATTTGGAGCATATTAAAGTAGGCCCAGGCTACTTTATTCACACAAATTACATGTAAAACATGTGGATAAAATATTTCAAACTAGGCCACTTCATTTTGAGGGTTTGTGTGATTTTTTAAATACATTTTCTTTACATTTCCTTCAACAATTCAAATGCTGGATAACTTCAATTCGGTAGGCTAATAAGGTTATATTTTTCAGATTCTTCCGGTCTTTTTACGTTTAGGCTATAAACATGATGAATAGTGAGTAATCAACATGACATCAAAGCGCAGAGGCTTTATCAAATAAATTTCAGATCTGATTGCACTATATTGCATATATGCTATTGAATTTCGATTATTTCGAACATTAAAAAAAAACATGGAAAATGTCAAGATTATGTGGAGGAAAATAAAGTTTGATATGTTATTAAAAAATATATATTTGACAAATAAATTAACTAAACTAAATAATCTATTTGAAAATGCAGCAGATCGAAGGTAAAAGGCAAACCAACAATATGCTTGATCAGAACTCTAATATGAATATGCCGAGAAAAGGTCGACCGCATTTTAGTAACAATACTCATTTATGTAAGCCCGGCGTAGCTCAGTTGGTAGAGCATGGGGCTTGCAACGCCAGGGTTGTGGGTTCGATTCCCACGGGGGGCCAGTATGAAAATGTTTGCACTCACTAACTGTAAGTCGCTCTGGATAAGAGCGTCTGCTAAATGACGTAAATGTAAGCCAATGTTTCTGATTTGTCATATCTGGCCTGGTCTTTATCGTTCAATAAATGAAATGTTGAAATGTCAAGTAGGCCTAACAACATACAACAATAGGCTACAGCTCGAGTCTTACTAAACAAACCTCATTAAAATAATATATTACACTTTTGCTAAGAATTATTTATGACTGAGACAAATACTCTACCAGTGACCAAGGTCCAGGGAGATAGGCAGCCTTCATATCCATAGATCTATACATTATTATTTATGTGTGAGGCCGTGTGTTCCGTTTGCACGTAGAAATGTAAATTCATATTTTTCTTCAGATTTGTTTCAGGTTTTAAGAAATGAGCTGCTGAATGTGCGCACAGGACATGGAAACCCTTCACTTATCAATCTGTAGATTTATGGCCGCATAGGCGACGGGCCCGACCGGGCATGAGGAGAACTCTGTCTTGGTCCAGTCCAGCAATCCAGAAGTTTTTTTTTTTTTTTTTTACTGAACAAAGTAGGTCACCAGATATAAATGTTGGTGTTTCAAAATAGTACATCCCACATCATCATGTTTATTTACAGAGGTTTTTCTGTGTGTTCTGTCCAGTTGGCTCATTGATATGGACAATAGTGTTACCAGAATGATGGACAGACAGAGCCCTGAGGAGACAGAGGAGAAGGGAAGAGGAGGAGGAGGAAGAGGAGAGACCAATGGGACTACTGCTACTGCCACTGACACCTTTAGCACTACAGGAGTTACCACGGTTACCACCAATGCCACCAAATCAGTGGTCATCACCATTACAAAGGCAGCCAGCTACACCACACCCCCATGCAGCCAGGCCGCTCCCACCTCTCTGGGAACCGCCCCCACAGAGAGACAGGCTGTTCAGGTGAGAGCGGGGACAGGGAGCTATAAGGGACAGGGAGCCAGAGGGGACCGTTTCCGTCAGTGTGTCAAATTTAGGAGAATGAAACCACATCTGTGTGTCAAGCAAAGGCTAGTTTTCTAATCATAAGAGTAGCCTATGTTATCCTGACCAAACCCAGGTCGTCAACATGCCTGGAATCGAACCCTGACCAAACCCAGGTCGTCCACATGCCTGCAATCGGACCCTGACCAAACCCAGGTCGTCCACATGCCTGCAATCGGACCCTGACCAAACCCAGGTCGTCCACATGCCTGGAATCGAACCCTGACCAAACCCAGGTCGTCAACATGCTTGGAATCGAACCCTGACCAAACCCAGGTCGACCACATGCCTGGATCGAACCCTGACCAAACCCCGGTTGCCCACATGCCTGGAATCGAACCTGTTTCATGCTGAGCTTAAGACGAGGCATTAGTTCTGGGAGATAAAATTAGTCATCAGTTCTGGTGAGAGTAGTTCAGGTTTGTCTTGTGAGCACTGAACCACCCCCACTACGCAATATGAGTAGTGTTTCTCTGCTGTGTCTCTCTCTAGGTGATCCAGCAGTCCATCCACAGCAGTCCATCCACAGCAGTCCATCCACAGCAGTCCATCCACAGCAGTCCATCCACAGCAGTCCATCCACAGCAGTCCATCCACAGCAGGCCCCCAGACCATGGCAGCTCAGTACCTGCAGCAGATGTACGCCGCCCAGCAGCAACACATCATGTTGCAGACCGCAGCCCTGCAGCAGACAGTCCCCCACCTCACCCCCTGCAGCCAACCGCATGGTGCCCCAGTCACCTGGTATCTCTGTAAGTTCAGCACTCTGGTATCAACACTTATCTGCCTACCAATGCCTGGTGAGACCAACACAATTCTGTCTGCCTGTCTCCAGATTACCATCCCTGCCTCTCCAGTAACAAGCCAGCTGATTGGTTGTTCTCAGAGTTCCAGCTCCACCACAGGCACGATTACCCGGCAGGCCCTGATCCTGGGGACTGGCTCTGCCTCCTGTAGCCAGGCCCAGATGTACCTCCGCACCCAGATGATCCCTCTCCATCTCCCTTTTACTGTACCAGTTCTGTAGCGCATGATAAACCATCTACTTGCCCAAAGAAGAGCTTCATTGTAAGCATGCCAATTTCTCTCTGTCTCTTTTCCCACTGATGTTTCCAACAATTTCTCTTTCACATTGAGAGTTTCTACTAACTTTCTCCTGCTCTCTTCTCTTTCTTCTTGGTGTCTCTTCTGCCTCTTCTTCCTGTTCTGCCTCTTCTTCCTGTTCTGCCTCTTCTTCCTGTTCTGCCTCTTCTTCCTGTTCTGCCTCTTCTTCCTGTTCTGCCTCTTCTTCCTGTTCTGCCTCTTCTTCCTGTTCTGCTTGTTCTGCCTCTTCTGTCTGTCAGCTGATTCTGACCCCTGCGGCCACCGTGGCAGTAGTCCACCCTGACCTGCCTTCTGCCTTCTGCAGCTCCTCTCAACTCTCCGCCTCCCAGGTCAGCAACCACCGCTAGGGTCAAGGGTTAAAGGTGAAAGGTTAAGAATGGCCATTCAGGTCTTACATGCATGGCAGGCTAGCTAGCCTGTCATCAGACAGCACAGCAGGAGTTTACATCTCACTACTGCCGAGATGTCATTTATATAGCTGGAGGACAAATACATTTTATACTATTATTATAATAAAAAATGTAGGCCTATGCGATCACTGCACTGTAAGTCGCTTTGGATAAAGGCATCTACTAAGTGGTATATAGTATCTGACATGGCTAGACATGTGGACAGGAGGCAGATATCTGACACATCGGGCACATCGACAGATTTTTCACCTAGTCGGCTCGGGGATTAGAACCAGCGACCTTTCGGTTACTGGCACAACGCTCTTACCCACTAAGCTACCTGCCACCCCACATGTGGACAGGAGGCAGATATCTGACTTGGTATTTCATGGCTAGACATGGACAAGTGGCATACTGTATATCTGAATACACTGTAACATATACTATATATACAAAAGTATGTGGACACCCCTTCAAATTAGTGGATTCGGCTATTTCAGCCACACCCGTTGCTGACAGGTGTATAAAATCGAGCACACGGCTATGCAATCTCCATAGACAAACATTGGCAGTAGAATGGCCCGTACTGAAGAGCTCAGTGACTTTCAACGTGGCACCTTCATAGGATGCCACCATTCCAACAAGTCAGTTCGTCAAATTTCTGCCCTCCTAGAGCTGCCCCGGTCAACTGTAAGTGCTGTTATTGTGAAGTGGAAACACCTAGGAGCAAAAACGGCTCAGCCGCGAAGTGGTAGGCCACACAAGCTCACAGAACGGGACCGCCGAGTGCTGAAGTGCGTAAAAATTGTCTGTCCTTGGTTGCAACACTCACTACTGAGTTCCAAACTGCCTCTGGAAGCAACATCAGCACGAGAACTGTTCGTTGAGAGCTTCATGAAATGGGTTTCCATGGCCGAGCAGCCGCACACAAGCCTACGATCATCATGCGCAATGCCAAGTGTCGGCTGTAGTTGTGTAAAGCTCGCCGCCATTGGACTCTGGAGCAGTGGAAAAGCGTTCTCTGGAGTGATGAATCATACTTCACCATTTGGCAGTCCGACGGACGAATCTGGGTTTGGCGGATGCCAGGAGAACGCTACCTGGCCAAATGCATAGTCACAACTGTAAAGTTTGGGGGAGGAGGAATAATGGTCTGGGGCTGTTTTTCATGGTTCGGGCTAGGCCCCTTAGTTCCAGTGAAGGGAAATCTTAACGCTACAGCATACAATGACATTCTAGACGATTCTGTGTTTCCAACTTTGTGGCACCAGTTTGGGGAAGTTGCTTTCCTGTTTCAGCATGACAATGCCCCAGTGCACAAAGCGAGGTCCATACAGAAATGGTTTGTCGAGATCGGTGTGGAAGAACTTGACTGGCATGCACAGAGCCCTGACCTGCGAGCCAGGCCTAATCGCCCAACATCAATGCTCAACCTCACTAATGCTCTTGTGGCTGAATGGAAGTCTTCACAGCAATGTTCCAACATCTAGTGGAAAGCCTTCCCAGAAGAGTGGAGGCTGTTATAGCAGCAAAGGGGGGACCAACTCCATATTAATGCACATGATTTTGGAATGAGATGTCCACATACTTTTGGTCATGTAGTCAATATATCAGGAACATGTGGGTATGGAGCCCTGAGGGACACCATACCCACGTGCTTCTACACCTGCATTACTAGCTGTTTGGGGTTTTAGGCTGGGTTTCTGTACAGCACTTCGAGATATTAGCTGATGTACGAAGGGCTATATAAAATAAAATTGATTGATTGATTGATTGATATCCAGTACCTGCTCAAAGACATTGGATGTATGTAAGTAATATCCTATAACATGTGTCTTCTCTCCTCTCTCGGGTTCAGAGCCTGGCTCTGCGGTCCCATCTCCCCGGGGCTTTGGCCACTGGCCAGAGTGTCCTGCTGCAGCCATCCTCCCAGCCCCAGGCCCATGCCCTGGTCAGTTCCCTGCCCAAGATGTCCCTCTGTCCCCTGAGGTCCAGCCAGCAGTCTGACCCCTCCACAGACACCACTGGAGCCGAGACCCGACCAGCCAACGTCACTCGGCTAACATCAGCAAACCAGTTTATCGCACCAGGTAAGTCAGTCACCATGGCATGGTTATAACTTTTGTGCTCTATTGGTTTGAATCAGTGTTATTCAGTACTGGTCCTGAAGATCCACAGGTCGTGCAGGCTTTTGTTTGTTACACGTATCCAACCCCTCATGTCTGTTCACATGGTTTTATTGCCATTCCAGCGTCATACACTCCTGTCCAATCCCATGCGTTGGTCAGGCACCAGCTGCACTGTCCTCCCAGCCACAAGGGGGCACCCCACCAGCACATCGTCCAGCAGACCACAGCAGGATCCCACCGGCAGCTGCACCCCATCGCCCTGCGCCTCGCACCCCTTGACACCTCCCCCACTCCCTCCCCTCTTACCCTCCAGCCCCTGGTCACCCCGACTCAAACCGCCTCCAAGTCCCCTCCTCTTCCTGCCAGCAGCCCGTCCCCACCCCACCCCACCCCACCTCCCCAGCAGACAGTGGTAGTGTCCTCATCAGCCCCTCCTCTGCCTCTCCTGTGCCCCAGCCCCAGCCCCAGCCCCAGCCCCCCACCCTGAGTCTCGGCCCCATCTCCCAGGCCTCTCTCCCCAAGCTTCTCCAGCCTCCTCTGGCATCTCTCAAGAGGCTGTCCCTGCGCTCCGTCCAGGCAGTCCAGTCCACTGGGGTTCTGGTGTTGAAGGAGCTCCCCGTGGCAGAGGCACTGATTCAGATGCCCTTCCAAAATGTTCCGGCACACCACATGTTCCAAAATCTTCCCCAAACATCCCAGAACCTACCCCAGACGTTCCAGAACCTTTCCCCTCCCCAGACCGTAGACCTCTGAGGAGAGGAGAGAGGAGAGGACCCCCCCCCCCCCCTCCACCCACACTCTCTCCACCCTCCACCCACACTCTCTCCTCTGTAAAGACATACAGTCCAATTATACAGAGAACTGTACAGGTACACAACATTAGTGTCTTACAATCATGTAAGCAGTGAGAACGACTGCTTTATGGCACTTTTCAAAACACTCAAACACAATGTACTGGCAGTTTTCATAGAGCAACAACACACATAACTCTCTCTCTCTCCTCCAGGCGGGTTGGGATTCCCTTGCGTCCCTCCGTCCAGCCGCACTGCGATCCACTCGTCATCCCAGGACACCTCCTCTTACGCCAGTTGCTTCCCCCCCTCCGTTACTGCCTGCCACCACGGTAAGAAGCCCAGGCCCCAGCCAGCCCCCCTCAGCCCCCCTACCAGGGAGCCCTGAGAGCGCTAGACCTCTCATCCTAACTCACCGTAATTGAGGGGTTTGTCGTCAGAGAGGCCCTGCAGCCGTTCCTCCCGGTACCATTCCCGGTACGTTCACTGGTGGGTGTTGTAACCAAGCTCCACAGTGTACACTACAGGTGCACACTACTACTGGTCGCCAAAGGCATGGATAGTAGCCTAGTAGTCACCACTTCACAGTGTAATGCACACTAGACTTCAGGCCTTGTCCTGGTCGCCAAAGGCCTAGTCACATACCATCCTCCCTCACCCTTCTTCACTGAATGGTGGATTGTGCGTTCAACCCTAGTCGATCTTAAGACAGTAGTAGAGCACAGCATCTTGAAGCCACAACCACAACCCCCCATATATCAAACGTCCTCTTGACCAAGCAGTCTCCTCTCTTACTGGTTGTTGGTTAACACGTTGTTCAGCCCTTCATAGCAGTATGTTGTTATGTTGTTCAGCCCTTCATAGCAGTATGTTGTTATGTTGTTCAGCCCTTCATAGCAGTATGTTGTTATGTGAACCAGTCATAGACTGAGTGGTGCGTTCCTTCCTGCCTCAGGTGGGCCGTTCCTCTTTGGGGGCAGACCAGCAGAAGCCCGGGAGGTGAGACCCAATGGGGATCTAGCACCTGAGATGAGAACCAATAGGGATGGAGAGCCAGAGGAGAGCCTGGTGGATGCTGAGCAGCCAGACATTTTACATTACATTTTAGTCATTTAGCAGACGCTCTTATCCAGAGCGACTTACAGTAAGTGAATACCTTTTTTATTTTTTGTTGTTTTTGTATTTTTATAAATAATACTTTTTTTTATTATTTTTTTTATACTGGCCCCCCATGGGAATCGAACCCACAACCCTGGCGTTGCAAACGCCATGCTCTACCAACTGAGCTACATCCCTGCCGGCCATTCCCTCCCCTACCCTGGACAACGCTGGACCAATTGTGCGCCGCCCATGAGTCTCCCGGTCGCGGCCGGCTGCGACAGAGCCTGGATTCGAACCAGGATCTCTAGTGGCACAGTTAGCACTGCGATGCAGTGCCTTAGACCACTGCGCCACTCAGACAACTCCAGTGACTCAGACATGGATGATATCCTCATCCTGGACGGTGTGTGTGTGTGTGTGTGTGTGTGAATACCTGCGAGCATGCGAGTGTGTCCGTCTGTCCGTCCGTCCGTCCTACCTTCTAACAGTGCGTCCTCTCATGCTGTACTGCTGCTGAGAGCCTGGTAGACTTGGTAGTTCTGTGGGAAGAGAGGCTATGTTCACACCTTCCTCCGATCCAAACGATTCAGCTCCATGACATTTTTTACATTTTAATCATTTAGCAGACGCTCTTATCCAGAGCGACTTACAGTTAGTGAGTGCATACATTTTCATACTGGCCCCCCCGTGGGAAACGAACCCACAGCCTTGGCGTTGCATGCGCCATGCTCTACCAACTGAGCTACAGGGGACATGACCTGTGTCAGGAGGTCAGTCCAGTTTTCCTCATAGGGTGACAAAATTCGCAGTTTTTCCAGAAATCCCAGTTGGAACACTCCTGGAGTTCCTGGTTCCAGGAATCGTCCAATCGTGTTTTCTGAAAAAATGAAAAGATACCGGGAAAGTCACCCAAATTTTGCAACACTATTCCCTGACCCAGATGAAGCCCCTGTAGTCCATATGTGGACTTGTGGCCAATAGCCATATGTAATTGTTCCCATCCAGGATCAAGGGGAATTCAAGAGACCCAGACTAGAATTCTTGGAATGTTTTGGTGTTCAGTGGAATATCTCCCTTGGATGGCTAAACTCCAGAAACCATACACACAGACCTCAACTCTCCCCGTCTCTCCCCGTCTGTCTCCCTCTCTCCCTCCACTCTGTCAGGTTCAATGTGAGATGTACGAAGCGTCTGAGCATGTTGAAGATGGACAAGGCCAGTCGTTGGGGCTACAGGCTGCTGGGCCAGAGAGGAGGACCCCCGACGGGGGGTCAACGGGGGCTCCAGAGAACACTTCCTCCTCAGACAGGTCAGAGGTCATTGCCTGGTCCCAGAACTGTCTGTACGTTTAGCCAACTCCTATGATCATTGATAACGGCAATCATGGCAAAACAGCACAAATAAATCTGGAACCAGGCTAGGTCAGTTAGACAGACAGACTTCAACAAATGTGCAATTATCTGATCTACCTATGAAACCCCAAACTGTTGTCCCTCATTTAAAGCATTACATGGGTAAATGTCTGATCGTGATCATGTTGTTTCTTCCACTGCAGATGAAGTGGCCCCACGGCTCTGATGAAACCCAGAGAAGGTTGAGGGGAGAGGGGGAAGAGAGGGGGAGGGAGCAGGGAGGGGAGCGACGTTCAGTCCCTCTTATGGATAGATCGCAGGAAAAGACTGTAGTGAATATCCAACACAGTGGAGTGTGGAACAAGTCTTCTCCTACATCAACTCTTTACCAGGTATCTTTATGGCTTCACTATGGCTTCACTGCTTGAACCAATACTGTAATGGATGCACATATCTTATACAATATCCCTGGGGCCAGGAGTTTTTCCCCACTCAGGTCACATCTCCTGGCCCTAAATGTCACAACTCTCCCCCCCTCTCTCTCCACTCCACCTCCTCTAGGTGGGCGGGACATATCCAACGAGTTCCGTTCACAGGAGATTGATGGCCAGGCCCTCCTATTGCTGACAAGAGAACCACTTGATGACAGCTATGAACATCAAACTAGGCCCTGCCCTCAAACTCTGTCCCCACATCAACGCTCTGAAGGAACCATGAGCACAGGAAATGAGCGTCTCAAATGGAACCCTATTCCCTATATAGTACACTACTGTTGACCAGGGCCCATCTGGTCAAAAGTAGTGCAAAAGCAGGGTGCCATTTGGAATGCGACCGAGAGGAACACCCTTATCGGACTATGAAGACATGGGAATACAGGAGGAAATGAGACACACCCTTCAACTCAGTGAGAAGCAGCGAGTAAACTGTTTTTCATCAGTGTATCACCGTAGTGATCGTAGCAATAAGGTTAAAGGTGGCCTTTTCTGTGTGTTACATTGTAAGCACTGTACATGCTGTTTCAACTTAAAGGTTTAAATAACTATATTTCAATGTTTTGCCAAAATGTTGGTACTCTCTGAAGGCTGTTTTCCAAGCCTGAGACGAGTTGGGATTTTACAACGACACAGATTGACTGAAGTTGCATGAGGAAATCCACCAAGAACCCTTGTAGCATAGCAACCGCAGAGCAACCAGGAAGTGCCTTGTGAATTCCAAGGTTGATGAGACATTAGACAAGCAACATATTATTTGTCGTTATAAATATAATACAAATAAAATCCTTTACCAGACTTGCATGTATTCATTATTGACCTGTCATGGGGGAATAGTCTCATTCCTGTACTGTCATTGCAAGTCATGGGTTACGTCCCAAATGGCACCCTATTCCCTATATAGTGCACTACTTTAGCCCTATGGGCTCTGGTCAAAAGTAGTGCACTATGAAGGGAATAGGGTGCCATTTGGGACTCAGGTATACCAGTAAGAAGCAAACTAGATGACTGAGGAAGCTTTATTGAGCTGACATGATTCACGTTCAGAATGTTACATTCCTGTCACCAGGAAATAGGTATAAATGAAGGTATTGACAAGCTAGCCCTACATGACCGTAGAATAAGGCAGGAATTCAAACAGGAAGAGGAATTCAAATATGGCTATTTAAAAAAAACAGACATTCCCTTTTCTATATAAAAATAGAGCAGTATTTTCTATTAAGAGTTCTGAATTTACAGTCATCCAGCCTTAACGGGTAACCATGTTGGAAAAAATACTGTGGTCGGTGGTCTAAATGAAGTCCCAGTTTGAAACAGCAGTGTACGTCCTCCCAGGAGTTTCACGTTGACGCTGTTAATCTTGACCAGTCGATCACGTATGATTCCGGTTGATTTGAGAATTATTTGAATAACTTGGTAATTCAATGTTCACAGTCACACCACAGCAGTTGAATGTCCTCAAAGAAACAGTTCTATATGGCTCTTTTTGTCCCAGAATGCTCAACAGTTTTGTTGTGATTTGGAAACTTTGGCACTCTGCCTTTTAAATGCAACGTTGCCGCATTTGTGGAGATCGCATTTGTGGTAAACGCTGCGTCTCAATCAGAAATTACCTTCAAATGTCAAGCACTATAAAACGCGCCCTCGGATTGAATCTCAGCTGAAGTCTGACGGTTGGAAGCCAAGTAGACAGTGTGGTGTTCAGTGTGCAGGACGCTGACCGATCAATGCTTTCATCTTCATCTGTTGCTCGATCATCCAATCAAACTCCTCTCTTTCCCTGAGGAGAGAAGGAAGGAGAGGAAAACAGATTCAGATGTCGGAATTGGTGCCCTGACTTGGGTTAGCTCCCCAAACTAATGCCTAGGCTTTAGCTCAGTGGGCTAACACACTCCTCCTCTCTTACCTTTTACTCAGACAGGGCCCTTTTAAGTATTTGTCCTCTGCCTTCACCAGTGACAACTTGTCCACTCCAGCTATGGCATAGATAATAGCCTGCAGGAGAAGAAGACTTTAGAATAATTTAATTTAAAGTAATTTAACGTCACTTCAACAGTAAAGAAAGGGAATATAAAACACACACAGAAAAAATCAATTTGTGTTTCAATGTAGTATCCTACTGCATAAAGTAGAATCCTACTGCATAAAGTAGCATCCTACTGCATAAAGTAGCATCCTACTGCATTCTGACCTCAGGTAAGAGGACATCCAGTACGAGGCGTATGCGGTCTACATCAGCCAGGCAGGGGGCGGTGAGGGGGGCAGTCTCATACACCCCTCTCAGGTACTGGTAGACCTGGTCCAGCTGCTCCTCGTCCTCCAGGTAGGTGTCCACTACTGACCGGCTGGCTGCCAGGAACCATCGCAACCACTTAGACTGTTGCTGACCGCTGATCACACCCTGGGGTGAGGGTGAGAGAGAGAGGTTATCATATATAGAGAGCTGATCACACCCTGGGGTGAGAGAGAGAGAGAGGTTATCATACAGTTGAAGTCGGAAGTTTACATACACTTAGGTTGGAGTCATTGAAACTCGTTTTTCAACCACTCCACAAATTTCTTGTTAACAAACTATAGTTTTGGCAAGTCGGTTAGGACATCTACTTTGTGCATGACAAGTAATTTTTCCAACAATTGTTTACAGACAGATTATTTCACTTTATTCACTGTAGCACAATTCCAGTGGGTCAGAAGTTTACATACACTAAGTTGACTGTGCCTTTAAACAGCTTGGAAAATTCCAGAAAATGTCATGGCTTTAGAAGCTTCTGATAGGCTTGATACGTTTGAGTCAATTGGAGGTGTACCTGTGGATGTATTTCAAGGCCTACCTTCAAACTCAGTGCCTCTTTGCTGATTTCTTTTGATTTTCCCATGATGTCAAGCAAAGACCTCAGAAAAAAATGTGTAGACCTCCACAGGTCTGGTTCATCCTTGGGAGCAATTTCCAAACGCCTGAAGGTACCACGTTCATCTGTATAAACAATAGTACGCAAGTATAAACACCATGGGACCACGCAGCCGTCATACCGCTCAGGAAGGAGACGCGTTCTGTCTCCTAGAGATTAACGTACTTTGGTGTGAAAAGTGCAAATCAATCCCAGAACAACAGCAAAGGACCTTGTGAAGATGCTGGAGGAAACGGGTACAAAAGTATCTATATCCACAGTAAAATGAGTCCTATGTCGACATAACCTGAAAGGCCGCTCAGCAAGGAAGAAGCCACTGCTCCAAAACAGCTATAAAAAAGCCAGACTACGGTTTGCAACTGCACATGGGGACAAAGATCGTACGTTTTGGAGAAATGTCCTCTGGTCTGATTAAACAAAAATAGAACTGTTTGGCCATAATGACCATCATTATGTTTGGAGGAAAAAGGGGGTACTTGCAAGCCGAAGAACACCATCCCAACCGTGAAGCACGGGGGTGGCAGCCTCATGCTGTGGGGGTGCTTTGCTGCAGGAGGGACTGGTGCACTTCACAAAATAGATGGCATCATGAGTATGAAGCAACATCTCAAGACATCCGTCAGGAAGTTAAAGCTTTGTCGCAAATGGGTCTTCCAAATGGACATTGACCCCAAGCATACTTCCAAAGTTGTGGCAAAATGGCTTAAAGACAACAAAGTCAAGGTATTGGAGTGGCCATCACAAAGCCCTGACCTCAATCCTATAGAAAAAGCGTGTGCGAGCAAGGAGGCCTACAAACCTGACTCAGTCACACCAGCTCTGTCAGGAGGAATGGGCCAAAATTCACCCAACTTATTGTGGGAAGCTTGTGGAAGGCTACCCGAAACGGTTGACCCAAGATAAACAATTTAAAGGCAATGCTACCAAATACTAATTGAGTGTATGTAAACTTCTGACCCACTGGGAATGTGATGAAAGAAATAAAAGCTTAAATAAACCATTCTCTCTACTATTATTCTGACATTTCACATTCTTAAAATAAAGTGGTGATCCTAACTGACCTAAGACAGGGAACATTTACTAGGATTAAATGTCAGGAATTGTGAAAAACTGAGTTTAAATGTATTTGGCTAAGATGTATGTAAACTTCCGACTTCAACTGTATATAGAGAGCTGATCACACCCTGGGGTGAGAGAGAGGTTATCATACAGTGGTGTGAAAAAGTGTTTGCCCCCTTCCTGATTTCTTATTTGTTTGCATGTTTGTCACACTTCAATGTTTCAGATCAAAAATATTTAAATATTAGTCAAAGATAACACAAAATGCAATTTTGAAATGAAGGTTGTTATTATTAAGGGAAAACAAAATCCAAACCCACATGGCCTTGTGTGAAAAAGTGATTGCCCCCTACAACCTAATAACTGGTTGGGCCACCCTTAGCAGCAACAACTGCAATCAAGCATTTGCAATAACTTGCAATGAGTCTTTCAAAGCGCTGTGGATGAATTTTGGCCCACTCATCTTTGCAGAATTGTTGTAATTCAGCCACATTGAAGGGTCTTCGAGCATGAACTGCCTTTTTAAAGGTCATGCCACAGCATCTAAATAGGATTCAGGTCAGGACTTTGACTAGGCCACTCCAAAGTCTTCATTTTGTTATTCTTCAGCCATTCAGAGGTGGACTTGCTGGTGTGTTTTGGATCATTGTCCTGCTGCAGAACCCAAGTTCGCTTCAGCTTGAGGTCACGAACTGATGGCCGGACATTCTCCTTCAGGTAGACAGCAGAATTCATGGTTCCATTTATCACAGCAAGTCTTCCAGGTCCTGAAGCAGCAAAACAGTCCCAGACCATCACACTACCACCACCATATTTTACTGTTGGTATGATGTTCTTTTTCTGAAATGCGGTGTTACTTTTACGCCAGATGTAATGGGACACACACACCTTCCAAAAAGTTCAACTTTTGTCTCGTCAGTCCACAGAGTATTTTCCCAATGGTCTTGGGGATCATCAAGATGTTTTCTGGCAAAAATGAGACGAGCGTTAATGTTATTTTTGCTCAGCAGTGGTTTTCGTCTTGGAACTCTGCCATGCAGGCCATTTTTGCCCAGTCTCTTTCTTATGGTGGAGTCATGAACACTGACCTTAACTGAGGCAAGTGAGGCCTGCAGCTCTTTGGATGTTGTTGTGGGGTCTTTTGTGACCTCTTGGATGAGTCGTCGCTGCGCTCTTGGGGTAATTTTGGTCGGCCACTCCTGGGAAGGTTCACCACTGTTCCATGTTTTCGCCATTTGTGGATAATGGCTCTCACTGTGGTTCGCTGATGTCCCAAAGCTTTAGAAATGGCTTTATAACCTTTTCCAGACTGATGGATCTCAATTACTTTCTTTCTCATTTGTTCCTGAATTTCTTTGGATCTCGGCATGATGTCTAGCTTTTGAGGATCTTTTGGTCTACTTCACTTTGTCAGGCAGGTCCTATTTAAGTGATTCCTTGATTGAGAACAGGTGTGGCAGTAATCAGGCCTGGGTGTGGCTAGAGGAATTGAACTCAGGTGTGATAAACCACAGTTGAGTTGTGTTATAACAGGGGGGGGGGGCAAACACTTTTTCACACAGGGCCATGTAGGTTTGGATTGTTTTCCTTTAATAATAACAACCTTCATTTCAAAACTGCATTTTGTGTTTACTTGTGTTATCTTTGACTAATATTTAAATTTGTTTGATGATCTGAAACATTTAAGTGTGACAAACATGCAAACAAATAACAAATCAGGAAGGGGGCAAACACTTTTTCACACCACTGTATATAGAGAGCTGATCACACCCTGGGGTGAGAGAGAGAGAGAGGTTATCATAGAGAGAGAGGTTATCATAGAGAGAGAGCTGATCACACCCTGGGGTGAGAGAGAGAGAGAGGTTATCATAGAGAGAGAGCTGATCACACCCTGGGGTGAGAGAGAGAGAGAGGTTATCATAGAGAGAGAGCTGATCACACCCTGGGGTGAGAGAGAGAGAGGTTATCATAGAGAGAGAGCTGATCACACCCTGGGGTGAGAGAGGGAGAGGTTATCATAGAGAGAGAGCTGATCACACCCTGGGGTGAGAGAGAGAGAGGTTATCATAGAGAGAGAGCTGATCACACCCTGGGGTGAGAGAGAGAGAGGTTATCATAGAGAGAGAGCTGATCACACCCTGGGGTGAGAGAGGGAGAGGTTATCATAGAGAGAGAGCTGATCACACCCTGGGGTGAGAGAGAGAGAGGTTATCATAGAGGGAGAGCTGATCACACCCTGGGGTGAGAGAGAGAGGTTATCATATATAGAGAGCTGATCACACCCTGGGGTGAGAGAGAGAGAGGTTATCATATATAGAGAGCTGATCACACTCTGGGGTGAGAGAGAGAGAGGTTATCATAGAGAGAGAGCTGATCACACCCTGGGGTGAGAGAGAGAGAGGTTATCATAGAGAGAGAGCTGATCACACCCTGGGGAGAGAGAGAGAGAGGTTATCATAGAGAGAGAGCTGATCACACCCTGGGGTGAGAGAGAGAGAGGTTATCATAGAGAGAGAGCTGATCACACCCTGGGGTGAGAGAGAGAGAGGTTATCATAGAGAGAGAGCTGATCACACCCTGGGGTGAGAGAGAGAGGTTATCATAGAGAGAGAGCTGATCACACCCTGGGGAGAGAGAGAGGGATGAGGGAGAGAGAGAGGGTAATGAAGGGAGAACATCTGATACTGACAGACGAAGGAGAGGGTTTGGACAGATGGAGCGAGAGAACATAATGAGTGCCTGGGAGAGGCATCGCCATGACTACTCACTAGAAGGCGTGTCTCCACTCGGCGTTGCTTAACGATGAAGTCCACCAGTTTCTCGTTGGCCCGGTTACGTGCTGCCTTGGAGCGGTCAGGCAGCAGCTTCCTCCTCCTCCTCCTCTCCTCCTCCTGCCGGTCGCTGCCCTCCTCCTCTTCCTCCCCCAGGTTGGAGGTCAAAAACTGCGACTCCAAGATCAGCTTACTGGGGAAGGTCAGGTCAGAGGTACCCTGAGGGTAACGCTTCCTCACCGGACAGCCTGGGGGGGGGATCAGGGAGGTTATCCATTCATCCATCCCTCTGACCTTTATTTAGTCAGGTCAGTTAGTTAGAGAAAACATTCTGTTGTACTATAACGCCCATCTTAAATTAAGAACAGGCAGCATTGGGATGAAGTTAAAACATCGGATAGCAAAGTACCTGGTCAATTCAACATCTAATAGCAGTGAATAGACATGAACTCACTTATGTCATCAGAAAAGTATTCAATGAAGGAACCGGTGAAGCCGCATCCTGCAAAGACAATGCAAACATCAAGGCCAAAACCTGGCAATACAACACACATATAATGAACTCAATCTGGGTCCGGAAAACAGGCGTATAGTGCTCATTCTAAGAGAAGTGGAGAATAGTTTACCGATACGGATTCTATAGTCGGCGATCAGCTCCAGGCACCATTTGATGGCAGCATCATAACTCTCTCTGGCTTTACACTACAGACATCAGCAAACAACATCAACACACCAGTGACCAGGACTACATATACAAAAACAGCTGTATCTATACTATATATATTAGTTGTATGGAGACAGTATTCATAAGGAGTTTGTCTGTTTCAGACAACCTTACCACAAGCTGATCAGCCTCTTCACAGTCAAAAGGCTTCAATGTTTTTAGGGCCACAGAGAAGCTGGAAAAGAAACCGAAAAAACATGATGGTTAATATTGGGAGCAAAGGTTCATTACTAAGTGAATGACAGTGGAAAGGGTTGAACAGAGTTTTTGGTTCCTACCCTTTTCGTATCCTCTTCTTGTCAAACAGCAGGTCGTCAATAAACACGATGCTGGCTTTCTTCATCTTCCGGTTCACGCTTTTCACCTGTGGAGAAGAGGAGTTGTTGACGGGCAAAATGTCCCCACCACATCTCATCGTTTCATGTTGTTGGAGGACAGATGCACACTCACTCACCATTGCCGGCCAGAAAGGATAATTTCTAAATTTGCACCAAACACATATTCCCTCTGTTATGGACAGCGGCTCTGAAAGAGACAAATAATGATTTATTTTTCCGTTAATTATACTGAACAAAAATATATTAAACGCAACATGTAAAGTGTTGGTCCCATGTTTCATGAGCTGAAATAAAAGATCCCAGATATTTCCCATTTGCACAAAAAGCTTATTTCTCTCAAATTATGGGCACACATTTGTTTACATCCCTGTTAATGAGCATTTCTTATTTGCCAAGATAATCCATCCACCTGACAGGTGTGGCATATCAAGAAGCTGATTAAACAGCGTGATCATTACACAGGTGCACCTTGTGCTGGGACAATAAAAGGCCACTAAAATGTGCAATTTTGTCACAATACAATGCCACAGATGTCTCAAGTTGAGGGAGAATGCAATTGGCATGCTGACTGCAGGAATGTCCACCAGAGCAGTTGTTAGAGAATTTGGCAGTGCTTCCAATCGGCCTCACAACCACAGACCACGTGTAACCACGCCAGCCCAGGTCCTCCACATCCGGCTACTTCACCTGCGGGATCATCTGAGACCAGTCACCTGGACAGCTGATGAAACTGTGGGTTTGTGCAACAGACACATTTCTGCACAAACTGTCAGAAACCATTTCAGAGAAGCTCATCTGCGTGCTCGTCGTCCTCACCAGGGTCTTGACCTGACTGCAGTTCGGTGTCGTAAACGACTTCAGTGGGCAAATGCTCACCTTCGATGGAAACTGGCACGCTGGAGAAGTGTGCTCTTCACGGATGAATTCCGGTTTCAACTGTACCGGGCAGATGGCGTTGTGTTGGCGAGCGGTTTGCTGATATCAACAATGTGAACAGAGTGCCCCATGGTGGCAGTCGGGTTATGGTATGGGCAGGCATAAGCTACGGACAACAAACACAATAGCATTTTATCGATGGCAATTTGAATGCACAGAGATACCGTGACGAGATCCTGATGCCCATTGTCGTGCCATTCATCCGCTGCCATCACCTCATGTTTCAGCATGATAATGCACAACCCCATATCGCAAGGATCTGTACACAATTCCTGCGAGCTGAAAATGTCCCAGTTCTTCCATGGCCTGCATACTCACCAGACTGTCACCCATTGAGCATGTTTGGGATGCTCTGGATCGACGTGTACGACAGCGTGTTCCAGTTCCCGCCAATAGCCAGCAACTTCGCACAGCCATTGAAGAGGAGTGGGACAACATTCCACATGCCGCAATCAACAGCCTGATCAACTCTATGTGAAGGAGATGTGTCGCGCTGCATGAGGCAAATGGTGGTCACACCCGATACTGACTGGTTTTCTAATCCACGCCCCTACTTTTAAAAAAAAAGGTTTTCTGTGACCAACAGATGCAACTGTATACTCAGTCATGTGAAATCCATAGATTAGGGCCTAATTAATTTCTTTCAATTGACTGATTTCCTTATATGAACTGTAAAATCTTTGAAATTCTTGCATGTTGCGTTTATATTTTTGTTCAGTGTAATTACAGTGAGGGAAAAAAGTATTTGATCCCCTGCTGATTTTGTACGTTTGCCCACTGACAAAGAAATGATCAGTCTATAATTTTAATGGTAGGTTTATTTGAACAGTGAGAGACAGAATAACAACAAAAACATCCAGAAAAACGCATGTCAGAAATGTTATAAATTGATTTGCATTTTAATGAGGGAAATAACTATTTGACCCCCACTCAATCAGAAAGATGTCTGGCTCCCAGGTGTCTTTTATACAGGTAACGAGCTGAGATTAGGAGCACACTCTTAAAGGGAGTGCTCCTAATCTCAGTTTGTTACCTCTATAAAAGACACCTGTCCACAGAAGCAATCAATCAGATTCCAAACTCTCCACCATGGCCAAGACCAAAGAGCTCTCCAAGGATGTCAGGGACAAGATTGTAGACCTACACAAGGCTGGAATGGGCTACAATACCATCGCCAAGCAGCTTGGTGAGAAGGTGACAACAGTTGGTGCGATTATTCGCAAATGGAAGAAACACAAAAGAACTGTCAATCTCCCTCGGCCTGGGGCTCCATGCAAGATCTCACCTCGTGGAGTTGCAATGATCATGAGAACGGTGAGGAATCAGCCCAGAACTACACGGGAGGATCTTGTCAATGATCTCAAGGCAGCTGAGACTATAGTCACCAAGAAAACAATTGGTAACACACTACGCCGTGAAGGACTGAAATCCTGCAGCGCCCGCAAGGTCCCCCTGCTCAAGAAAGCACATATACAGGCCCGTCTGAAGTTTGCCAATGAACATCTGAATGATTCAGAGGAGAACTGGGTGAAAGTGTTGTGGTCAGATGAGACCAAAATCGAGCTCTTTGACATCAACTCAACTCGCCGTGTTTGGAGGAGGAGGAATGCTGCCTATGAACCCAAGAACACCATCCCCACCGTCAAACATGGAGGTGGAAACATTATGCTTTGGGGGTGTTTTTCTGCTAAGGGGACAGGACAACTTCACCGCATCAAAGGGACGATGGACGGGGCCATGTACCCCATCAAATCTTGGGTGAGAACCTCCTTCCCTCAGCCAGGGCATTGAAAATGGGTCGTGGATGGGTATTCCAGCATGACAATGACCCAAAACACACGGCCAAGGAAACAAAGGAGTGGCTCAAGAAGAAGCACATTAAGGTCCTGGAGTGGCCTAGCCAGTCTCCAGACCTTAATCCCATAGAAAATCTGTGGAGGGAGCTGAAGGTTCGAGTTCCAAACGTCAGCCTCGAAACCTTAATGACTTGGAGAAGATCTGCAAAGAGGAGTGGGACAAAATCCCTCCTGAGATGTGTGCAAACCTGGTGGCCAACTACAAGAAACGTCTGACCTCTGTGATTGCCAACAAGGGTTTTGCCACCAAGTACTAAGTCATGTTTTGCAGAGGGGTCAAATACTTATTTACCTCATTAAAATGCAAATCAATTTATAACATTTTTGACATGGGTTTTTCTGGATTTTTTTGTTGTTATTCTGTCTCTCACTGTTCAAATAAACCTACCATTAAAATTGTAGACTGATCATTTCCTTGTCAGTGGGCAAACATACAAAATCAGCAGGGGATCAAATACTTTTTTCCCTCACTGTAACAACAATGTACGATTTTCGCACGTGTAGGCAGGAATCATGTCAGAGAAGGAGTTTATCAACCATCAACACAATCACACTAACTCACTTGTGTTATTTAAGAAACTGGGCAGATCTTCCTCATCCTCCTGCTCTTCCTCCTCCTCTTCAAGAGGAAGTGATGTCAGGTGGTCTTCCTGTAGGCTCAGTTCGATGGACAGGTCTGAGGACAGGGAGGAATCTCCTGTGTCTTCGTCCGGTGAGTCCAACTCCAGCAGCTCAAACCGTGGTCTGGAGCATTGGATTGGCTGAGAGCTGGTGCTGTTGTCACTCTGCAGCCCGACTCCCTCCACTCCCTCTGCTGTAAGGCTCTTCCTGCTTCTACGTCTGCGCTTGGCTGGAGGCCCCTCCTCTGAGCTGCAGGTCTGAGACCCTCCCTCTGCTGCAGTTTTCACATTCTTCTTCTTACCACACTGAGTCTTGACTCTCTTCACTACAGCCGGGTCCTTCACTCTCTTCACTACAGCCGGGTTCTTCACTCTCTTCACTACAGCCGGGTCCTTCACTCTCTTCACTACAGCCGGGTCCTTCACTCTCTTCACTACAGCCGGGTCCTTCACTCTCTTCACTACAGCCGAGTTCTTCACTCTCTTCACTACAGCCGGGTTCTTCACTCTCTTCACTACAGCCGGGTCCTTCACTCTCTTCACTACAGCCGGGTCCTTCACTCTCTTCACTACAGCCGGGTCCTTCACTCTCTTCACTACAGCCGGGTCCTTCACTCTCTTCACTACAGCCGGGTCCTTCACTCTCTTCACTACAGCCGGGTCCTTCACTCTCTTCACTACAGCCGGGTCCTTCACTCTCTTCACTACAGCCGGGTTCTTCACGCTCTTCACTACAGCCGGGTTCTTCCTTGGCCGACCTCTGGGTTTACGCCAAGGTTTACTGCCGGGTAAAGCTACGTCTGGCTCTGGAGTCTGAAAGAGAGAAGGTTACTGAATGTTGAATACTTTAAACATTTACTACAATCTACAGAGATTGAGCCTAGGCCTGGACTGAAACACCTCTCCATTGTCAAGGGAAATTAACTCTCAGTGCATAACGTCACATCATGTCTGTTTCTACTCAGTGTCGATGAAGACGATACAGTACCATGTCCAGATGCTCCAACAGCTTCCAGGGGGTGATGGGTGAGGCGTTCTGAAGGCTCTCTGGCTTGGAGCCCAGGGCCAGGGGAGACAGGGAGGCAGAGAAGGGGTTGTCTGTTCCTATGGAGGATCTGGGGCCTGGGGTGGAGCTAAGACAGATCTGCTGCTGGACCCACGTGGTTCTGCCTCCGACTCGCTTAGGTGTGCTTGGTGAGGAGGAGACGCCAGGAGGGCTGAGAGTAGGAGAGAGGCTACTCTGTAGGCCGGAGGAGAGTTCTGCAGATCGCACAGGGAGTGAAGAGAGGATCTCAGAGTCTACCCTGTGGGTCTGTGATTTTTTTATATATTTTCTCTTTGGAACACCAGGAGGAATGTGTGTGGATGAGGAAAGGCTAGGGGAGAGGTCTGCAGATAGCACAGAGAGTGAGATGGGGACGTCAGAGACTACATTACGGCTCTGTGATTTCTTAGTATATTTTCTATTTTTTACAGTCTCCACCTGTGACTGGTCAGTCTCCACCTGTGACTGGTCAGTCTCCACCTGTGACTCTACTTTACGCTTCTGAGATTTTTCAGATGTCTTTTCCCTATTTCTCCCAGTTTCCTGTGACTGGTCTACCTTATGGCTCTGTGACTTTCTAGTATGTTTCCACTTTCTCACAGTTTCCTGCGACTTGTCAGACTCCTTTGACTGGTAAGTCTCCTGTGACAGGTCAGTCTCCTGTGGCTGGTCTACCTTATGGGTTGGTAATATTTTAGGCACTGTTTTCCTTTTTGTTACAGACTCCTGTGACTGGACAGTTTCCTGTGATTGAGCTACCTTGGAGGTCTGTGACGTTTTAGATGCATGTTTCCTCTTGCTCAAAGTCTCACTCTCCTGTGACTGGTCTGTCTCCTGTGACTGGTCTACCTTCAGAGTCTCCGATTTTTTTGTATACTTCCTCTTTCTCACCGGTGACAGACACCTGTCCTCAGGGCCAGGCACAGGTGAGTTGGGTGTCAAGGATTGTGTCTCAGCCTCTGTTTGGTCCTCTGGCTGTGAACATGGGTGTGTATCTGTCGGGGAATGGGCCTGATGGATCTGATGTTCTGGGACAGTATGAGGTTTCTTGTGTTTGGGTGGCCTCCCCCTCTTGCGCCGTTCACTGTGTGGCTGTGAGGCATCAGAGGTTCCTTTCTCCGCTGTACTCTGTTTCTGGGGTGAAACAAGTGGTTCAGCCCCTAGCTCGCTGGTCAGTGAGTCTGTGTGTTCTCCAGCAGTTAGGACATTTGGGCTGGTTGTATCTCCTTGTTCTACAGATGGACTAGAGAGATGGGTCCCTTCATTATGCTGTACCTTCTGTAAGTCCTTGGTGGGGGATGGTAGTTCAGAGGCGCCCACAGGTGGGCTGGGTGACAGGGGCTGTGTCACTGTGAAAGCATTCATTTGGTCCTCTCGCTGTGAACATGGGTCTGAATCTGAAGTGGACTGGATCTGATGTTCTGGGACAGCATGAGGTTTCTTGTGTTTGGGTGGCCTCCCCCTCTTGCGCCGTTCACTGTGTGGCTGTGAGGCATCAGAGGTTCCTTTCTCCGCTGTACTCTGTTTCTGGGGTGAAACAAGTGGTTCAGCCCCTAGCTCGCTGGTCAGTGAGTCTGTGTGTTCTCCAGCAGTTAGGACATTTGGGCTGGTTGTATCTCCTTGTTCTACAGATGGACTAGAGAGATGGGTCCCTTCATTATGCTGTACCTTCTGTAAGTCCTTGGTGGGGGATGGTAGTTCAGAGGCGCCCACAGGTGGGCTGGGTGACAGGGGCTGCGTCTCAACCTCTGTTTGGGCATCAGGTGGCTGACACCTGTCCTCAGGCACAGGTGGGCTGGGTGACAGGGGCTGCGTCTCAACCTCTGTTTGGGCATCAGGTGGCTGACACCTGTCCTCAGGCACAGGTGAGATGGATGACAGGGGCTGCGTCTCAACCTCTGTTTGGGCATCAGGTGGCTGACACCTGTCCTCAGGCACAGGTGAGATGGATGACAGGGGCTGTGTCACTGTGAAAGCATTCATTTGGTCCTCTCGCTGTGAACATGGGTCTGAATCTGAAGTGGACTGGATCTGATGTTCTGGGACAGCATGAGGTTTCTTGTGTTTGGGTGGCCTCCCCCTCTTGCGCCGTTCACTGTGTGGCTTTGACGCATCAGAGGTTCCTTTCTCCGCTGTCCTCTGTTTCTGGGGTGAAACAAGTGGTTCAGCCCCTAGCTCGCTGGTCAGTGAGTCTGTGTGTTCTCCAGCAGTTAGGACATTTGGGCTGGTTGTATCTCCTTGTTCTACAGATGGACTAGAGAGATGGGTCCCTTCATTATGCTGTACCTTCTGTAAGTCCTTGGTGGGGGATGGTAGTTCAGAGGCGCCCACAGGTGGGCTGGGTGACAGGGGCTGCGTCTCAACCTCTGTTTGGGCATCAGGTGGCTGACACCTGTCCTCAGGCACAGGTGAGCTGGGTGACAGGGGCTGCGTCTCAACCTCTGTTTGGGCATCAGGTGGCTGACACCTGTCCTCAGGCACAGGTGAGCTGGGTGACAGGGGCTGCGTCTCAACCTCCGTTTGGGCATCAGGTGGCTGACACCTGTCCTCAGGCACAGGTGAGCTGGGTGACAGGGGCTGCGTCTCAACCTCTGTTTGGGCATCAGGTGGCTGACACCTGTCCTCAGGCACAGGTGAGCTGGGTGACAGGGGCTGCGTCTCAACCTCTGTTTGGGCATCAGGTGGCTGACACCTGTCCTCAGGCACAGGTGAGCTGGGTGACAGGGGCTGTGTCACTGTGAAAGCATTCATTTGGTCCTCTCGCTGTGAACATGGGTCTGAATCTGAAGTGGACTGGATCTGATGTTCTGGGACAGCATGAGGTTTCTTGTGTTTGGGTGGCCTCCCCCTCTTGCGCCGTTCACTGTGTGGCTGTGAGGCATCAGAGGTTCCTTTCTCCGCTGTCCTCTGTTTCTGGGGTGAAACAAGTGGTTCAGCCCCTAGCTCGCTGGTCAGTGAGTCTGTGTGTTCTCCAGCAGTTAGGACATTTGGGCTGGTTGTATCTCCTTGTTCTACAGATGGACTAGAGAGATGGGTCCCTTCATTATGCTGTACCTTCTGTAAGTCCTTGGTGGGGGATGGTAGTTCAGAGGCGCCCACAGGTGGGCTGGGTGACAGGGGCTGCGTCTCAACCTCTGTTTGGGCATCAGGTGGCTGACACCTGTCCTCAGGCACAGGTGGGCTGGGTGACAGGGGCTGCGTCTCAACCTCTGTTTGGGCATCAGGTGGCTGACACCTGTCCTCAGGCACAGGTGAGCTGGGTGACAGGGGCTGCGTCTCAACCTCCGTTTGGGCATCAGGTGGCTGACACCTGTCCTCAGGCACAGGTGAGCTGGGTGACAGGGGCTGCGTCTCAACCTCTGTTTGGGCATCAGGTGGCTGACACCTGTCCTCAGGCACAGGTGAGCTGGGTGACAGGGGCTGCGTCTCAACCTCTGTTTGGGCATCAGGTGGCTGACACCTGTCCTCAGGCACAGGTGAGCTGGGTGACAGGGGCTGTGTCACTGTGAAAGCATTCATTTGGTCCTCTCGCTGTGAACATGGGTCTGAATCTGAAGTGGACTGGATCTGATGTTCTGGGACAGCATGAGGTTTCTTGTGTTTGGGTGGCCTCCCCCTCTTGCGCCGTTCACTGTGTGGCTGTGAGGCATCAGAGGTTCCTTTCTCCGCTGTACTCTGTTTCTGGGGTGAAACAAGTGGTTCAGCCCCTAGCTCGCTGGTCAGTGAGTCTGTGTGTTCTCCAGCAGTTAGGACATTTGGGCTGGTTGTATCTCCTTGTTCTACAGATGGACTAGAGAGATGGGTCCCTTCATTATGCTGTACCTTCTGTAAGTCCTTGGTGGGGGATGGTAGTTCAGAGGCGCCCACAGGTGGGCTGGGTGACAGGGGCTGCGTCTCAACCTCTGTTTGGGCATCAGGTGGCTGACACCTGTCCTCAGGCACAGGTGGGCTGGATGACAGGGGCTGCGTCTCAACCTCTGTTTGGGCATCAGGTGGCTGACACCTGTCCTCAGGCACAGGTGAGCTGGGTGACAGGGGCTGCGTCTCAACCTCCGTTTGGGCATCAGGTGGCTGACACCTGTCCTCAGGCACAGGTGAGCTGGGTGACAGGGGCTGCGTCTCAACCTCTGTTTGGGCATCAGGTGGCTGACACCTGTCCTCAGGCACAGGTGAGCTGGGTGACAGGGGCTGCGTCTCAACCTCTGTTTGGGCATCAGGTGGCTGACACCTGTCCTCAGGCACAGGTGAGATGGATGACAGGGGCTGTGTCACTGTGAAAGCATTCATTTGGTCCTCTCGCTGTGAACATGGGTCTGAATCTGAAGTGGACTGGATCTGATGTTCTGGGACAGCATGAGGTTTCTTGTGTTTGGGTGGCCTCCCCCTCTTGCGCCGTTCACTGTGTGGCTGTGAGGCATCAGAGGTTCCTTTCTCCGCTGTACTCTGTTTCTGGGGTGAAACAAGTGGTTCAGCCCCTAGCTCGCTGGTCAGTGAGTCTGTGTGTTCTCCAGCAGTTAGGACATTTGGGCTGGTTGTATCTCCTTGTTCTACAGATGGACTAGAGAGATGGGTTCCTTCATTATGCTGTACCTTCTGTAAGTCCTTGGTGGGGGATGGTAGTTCAGAGACGCCCACAGGTGGGCTGGGTGACAGGGGCTGCGTCTCAACCTCTGTTTGGGCATCAGGTGGCTGACACCTGTCCTCAGGCACAGGTGGGCTGGGTGACAGGGGCTGCGTCTCAACCTCTGTTTGGGCATCAGGTGGCTGACACCTGTCCTCAGGCACAGGTGAGCTGGGTGACAGGGGCTGCGTCTCAACCTCTGTTTGGGCATCAGGTGGCTGACACCTGTCCTCAGGCACAGGTGAGATGGATGACAGGGGCTGCGTCTCAACCTCTGTTTGGGCATCAGGTGGCTGACACCTGTCCTCAGGCACAGGTGAGATGGATGACAGGGGCTGCGTCTCAACCTCTGTTTGGGCATCAGGTGGCTGACACCTGTCCTCAGGCACAGGTGAGCTGGATGACAGGGGCTGTGTCACTGTGAAAGCATTCATTTGGTCCTCTCGCTGTGAACATGGGTCTGAATCTGAAGTGGACTGGATCTGATGTTCTGGGACAGCATGAGGTTTCTTGTGTTTGGGTGGCCTCCCCCTCTTGCGCCTTACACCTTGTGGCTGTGACGCATCAGAGGTTCCTTTCTCCGCTGTACTCTGTTTCTGGGGTGAAATTAGTGATTGAGACAGGCTAGCAGGGTTGGTTGAAACAGGTGTTTGAACTGGGCTAGCAGGGCTAAGTCCTGGCTGTGGAGTGGATGTTTGGTGGTCGGTCCAATTTGAGGTCTTCTGAGTGGAAGAGGAAGAACTGTCCTCTGGTGAATGCATGTTCAGGGCCAGGCGAGCTCCAGTGCTTCAGCTCCTCAGGGGGGCAATGCTCGTCATCTTGAGCTGTGGTGGAACCATGCAGGAAGATAACCGTTTATTATTTGTGTTGATCAAATAACATATGCATTTCAGAGAGGGTTGTAACATTAATGTGTAGGCTAGTAATTATCACCTAGGAAACATCTTAGCAAACATCTGGCCAACTAGCTAGCTAGCTAGCTAAACACTGACAGCTTGTGAATTTGAAAGTTGTGTTGCTAGACCAAGATACGGCCCTTAAGAAAATTAACAACTTCCATTTTCATCTCAAGAGATTTCTTCATGCAAACATGTCAAATAAATAACGTTAGCTGTTAGCTAGCTGACAACACTACTAGAGATCGGTCTCATCAGATATTTCAACAAAAACATTTGTTAGAAATGAAATTACAGACAGTTGACTAGCTTTGATAGATTTTCGTATTCACTTTACATCCGCATATGCATGCACAGCGTGCTTGCTGGTCAAACAACGGTAGCTAGCTTAGCTACCGATAATTCTACAGTACAGCATGTTTTGAATTGCATCGGTTACTCTGTGCTGGCTAACCGTTAGCTAGCTAACTTGCTAAAGTAGTATAGTAGTTAGGTTCCAAAGATTGATTTGCATAAAATATTTATACGTACACATAGAAACAGCAAGGTAGCTAGGTTGAATACTTTCTTCTAGATACTTCAAATGTTGCAACTCCTTCTGGGTTGTCACTAGTTACCACACCCACAAAGTCAAAATTGGCTATGGTCAACTGGCTATATCGTAAAAATTCATGAAAACAAAACGTAGCTTTTTGTTCTTAATTTAAGGTGAAGCTTATGGTTAGCAGTGTGGTTAGGTTTAAAATACGATTTTAAGAAGATACATTGAAGAAATAGGCGGGGTATATGGCTTTGTGGCTGTGGTAACTAGTGATGACCCCCTCCTAAACCAAAACAGAAATACTTTTGAGATGTGAAACTCCATTGGAATTGTGTACATTGTCCATGCGTCGTCAATGGGGCGCTAGCTTTCCGAGATGTGAGATAATTAATTAGTTGTAACCTTGTATCGCTTTGGAATCCTGACATTACGTACTTTCGAGGAAAATAGGCAGGTTTCTCGATATATGGTGCTTTCAAGACAACTGGGAACACGGAAAAAACGAGGTCAAATCATGACGTCAGTGATGACTTCAGGACGGAAAGTCTGGGCTTTAGGAAGAGGCCCGACTTCCCGACTTGGAATTCCGAGTTGGATGACCGTTCAAACGATTTTTTCCAGTCGGAGATTTCCGAGTCCCCCATTGTTTTAAACGCGGCATCATACCCAGACTTTGAGAAGGGTTTGCATGAAGATTAGTTTAGCAACTGCGTGACGCAGCATGACAAGGTCAACCCGATTGGCCGACAGCCTGGGCGTTATACGTTGCTTCTTTCATTGTCTAATGGGATTCCCATCTCTTCCGTTCTCTAATATCTCTGGCGAAAACAACGTATATTCCGAGTTTCGCGCCGTTTGATTCATGGGATATGTAGTACATTAAACAGAACTCAGGAGCAACGTAATTTCCCTCATTTCCAATTTGACGAAATTACATATTTAGGCAGAAAATCATACACGAACATAAACCAAAAACACAACACACAGTAAAAAGACCTTTACTGTAACATGTTATGTTCTGTCACTAGTGAAAAAGTACAGTCAGTGCCTGCAGTAATGGCGCTGCATTGGATAGCAGCTATTTTACAGGCTCCTGACCAATTCTGCTATTTTGTGTGATTTTTTGCGCTGATCATAACTTATTTTGTACATTATGTTTCCGCCATCATTTCCTATGACGACTTGGATGAAGACCAGGCCCTAATCCCGAGACACTGAAAAGAAAAAGGCGGCTGTCACGATCGTCAGGGAGAGACCAATGCGCAGCGTGATGAACGAACATGTTACTTTATTTAATTAAAGTGCACACACGAAACAACAAAACAATAAACGACTCGTGAAGTCCACGGTAACAATGACCGACACGGAACAAGAACCCACAAACACAAAGGGAAAACAGACAGTTTAAATATGGCTCCCAATCAGAGACAACCAGCCAACAGCTGACACTCGTTGCCTCTGATTGGGAGTCACTCAGGCCAACATAGAAATACACAACCTAGAATTCCCAACATAGAAACAGAACACATAGAATGAACACACCCTGGCTCAACATATAGAGTCCCAGAGCCAGGGTGTGACAGTACCCCCCCCTAAAGGCGCGGACTGCGACCGCGCCTCAATAAGAGCAAAACAGGGGAGGGCTGGGTGGGCATACCTCCTCGGCGGCGGTTCTGGCTCCGGCCTTGCCCACCACCCTCCAATAATCCCCCCATAGTGCCCCTGGTCCGGTCTGGCCCCGCTGGCTGGAGCTGAACTGGACGTAGCAGGAGCGGTTAGCTTAAGCTCCGTTGTGGAGCAGTTGAGCGGTACCTGATTAGGCACCGATGACCCAGGCACCGGTTGTGCCGGACTGACGACGCGCACCCCTGGCTTGGTGCGTGAGGCAGGAACGGACCGGACTGACGATGCGCACCCCTGTCTTGGTGCGTGGAGCAGCAACGGGCCGGACCGGGCTGACGATACGCACCCCTGGCTTGGTGCGTGGAGCCGGAACGGGCCTCACCGGACTGACGACTCGCACCCCTGGCTTGGTGCGTGGAGCAGCAACGGGCCGGACCGGGCTGACGATGCGCACCCCTAGCTTGGTGCGTGGAGCCGGAACGGGCTTTACCGGGCTGACGACTCGCACCCCTGGCTTGGTGCGTGGAGCAGCAACGGGCTTTACCAGGCTGACGACTCGCACCCCTGGCTTGGTGCGAGTAACAGGAACAGGCCGGGCCGGGCTGGCGACGCGCACCGTATACTTGGTGCGAGTGGCAGGAACAGGCCGGGCCGGGCTGGCGACGCGCACCGTAGACTTGGTGCGTGGAGCAGGGACAGGCCGGACTGGGCTGGCGACGCGCACCGTAGACTTGGTGCGAGTGGCAGGAACAGGCCGGGCCGGGCTGGCGACGCGCACCGTATACTTGGTGCGAGTGGCAGGAACAGGCCGGGCCGGGCTGGCGACGCGCACCGTAGACTTGGGGCGTGGAGCAGGGACAGGCCGGACTGGGCTGGCGACGCACACCGTAGGCTTGGTGCGTGGAGCAGGGACAGGCCGGACCGGGCTGGCGACGCACACCGTAGGCTTGGTGCGTGGAGCAGGGACAGGCCGGACCGGGCTGGCGACGCACACCGTAGGCTTGGTGCGTGGAGCAGGGACAGGCCGGGCTGGGCTGTCGACGCACACCGTAGGCTTGGTGCGTGGAGCAGGGACTGGCCGGACTGGGCTGGCGACGCACACCGTAGGCTTGGTGCGTGGAGCAGGGACAGGCCGAACCGGGCTGTGGAGACGGATAGGAGCCCTGGAGTGAAGAGCGGCCACAACCCGTCCTGGCTGAATGCCTACCCTCACACACTCTGTGTGAGGCATCCGCACAGGACGTACAGGGCGGTGTATCCGTAACCTGGTGGCCTCCAGAATCCGCCCCTCTTTTGCCTCCGTCAGCCCCGTCGTCCATGCCGTGTGCCCCCCCCTAAAAATTTCTGGGGTTGCCTCTCGACCGCCCGACGACGACCCTGATCACGCCGTTGCTCCTCTCTACGGTGCGCCTCCACCGTCTCTTCTCCCGGCGCTTCCTCCCATGTCCAGCCCAAGAGCTGCCCCTGGACACGCTGCTTGGTCGTTGCATGGTGGGTTTTTCTGTCACGATCGTCAGGGAGAGACCAATGCGCAGCGTGATGAACGAACATGTTACTTTATTTAATTAAAGTGCACACACGAAACAACAAAACAATAAACGACTCGTGAAGTCCACGGTAACAATGACCGACACGGAACAAGAACCCACAAACACAAAGGGAAAACAGACAGTTTAAATATGGCTCCCAATCAGAGACAACCAGCCAACAGCTGACACTCGTTGCCTCTGATTGGGAGTCACTCAGGCCAACATAGAAATACACAACCTAGAATTCCCAACATAGAAACAGAACACATAGAATGAACACACCCTGGCTCAACATATAGAGTCCCAGAGCCAGGGTGTGACAGCGGCGACGAAACTACGTTGGCGAGTACATAAATTGCCTCTACCCTCCGTTCTATTGGCGAACGTACAATCACTGGAGAACAAACTGGACATGTTCCGTTCGAGACTATCCTATCAACGGGACCTGAAGAACTGTAATATCCTATGTTTCTCGGAGTCGTGGCTGAACAAGGACATGGATAATATGTCCTTATGTGGTCCTCTGTAGCTCAGCTGGTAGAGCATGGCGCTTGTAACGCCAAGGTAGTGGGTTCGATCCCCGGGACCACCCATACGTAAAAATGTATGCACGCATGACTGTAAGTCGCTTTGGATAAAAGCGTCTGCTAAATGGCATATTATATACATACAGATGTTTTTTCTATGCATCGGCAGGACAGAACGGCAATGTCGGGTCAGCTCAAGGGTGGAGGTGTGTGTCTCTTTGTTAACAACAGCTGGTGCGCAATCTCCAATATTAAGGAATACTCTAGGTTCTGCTCACTGTAGACCATACTATTTACCAAGAGTTTTCATATATATTTTTCGTAGCCATCTATATACCACCACAAATCAGATACTGGCACTAAGACCGCACTCAACGAGCAGTATAGGGCCATAAACAAACAAGAAAATGCTCATCCAGAAGCGATTAGTGGCCGGTGATATTAATGCAGTAAAACTGAAATCAGTTTTACCTAATTTCTACCAGCATGTCACGTGTGCAACTAGAGGCAAAAAAAAACTCTAGATCACCTTTACTCCACACACAGACACACATACAAAGCTCTCCCTCGCCCTCCATTTTGCAAATCTGACCACAACTCTATCCTCGTGATTCTTGCTTACAAGCAAAAATTCTAACAGGAAGT